TGGCTGCTGTGGGGGACAGAGGTGTGGCTCCCAAGCCAATGAAGCTATGTTTTCAGGGGGATTATAGCTGCCTCTGCTGCATCATACAGGTCACCAGGGAAGTAAGGGAAAGCCAGCAGCGACAGGTCTCACCCAGATTTCATGCAGTCTGAAAGGCGAGTCTCTCTCTCCCACTACCCCACCAACAGCACTGAGTTTACTTAGACGTAGCTGGTGAGCAAGGCCGAGAACTAGCCCTAGGATACAAGCCGCCCTGCTGAGAAAGCAAGCAGGGTTTCCAGGTTCCACACCTCCCTGCATGCTGCAACTTCTGTACTGGTATCTGCATCCCAGTTCGCCCCCTCCCCCAGATTATGTCCGAGAAACTCTGTATTTAGTCAAAAGTGTTACAAAGTGCAGCTGGAAATGTCCTTCCCCACTGTGGTCTTTCCTCAATTTTACTGGCAGTCCTCCCCAAGGACCCCCACGAGACAAAGTCAGAAATGGCTTCCCTTGAAACCAAGAGTGCCCACAGCGCTCTTCCCGCTGCTTCCTCTAACCCCTTTATTTTGCTTGATTCTTTAAATTTATCTCATTTCCCAGTGAGGACTAATCCTTCTCCTGTGATCTGGACCTTCAGGTTCTCCAGTGAGCATGTGTGTTTGGGGCTATGTTACCCCTCACACTTTTGCACACTCACAGTTTTTCGGCTGTCTCACAAAGCCTGCAGAGACAAGCTGCTTCCTCCAAAGAGTCTGTGGATTCCCTTGGCTTTTCTCGTATGTTCCTGCAGTATTGCCTGGAGCAAAAGTTGACAATGTAAATCTCCACATGCTGTTCTGTTTGTCTGAGTGGGAGCTGCAAGTTAGTCCTGCTTCCTACTTTCCCCTACTGCCATTTTTCGCCTGTTGTCCCCTGGGTTTTACTGTTTTTCCTATTGTCCCCAGGGCTTTACTTTTGAACCATGATCGTAACCTGAGAAACATGACCTTCATGAAACTGACAATTCAAAAATTCAAATCATAATAAAATATCAGGAGCTCTGTTTTCACTGAGTAAAAGAATAATTTTGGGTTATTTTTAATAATTAAATCAAAACATAAATATAATACCAAAGATTTGTTAATCAAACAGAAAAAAGTTAATTTCATAGGTGGCACTTTGGATTGGTTATCAGATGTAGATAATATTCGATTTTATGCAGCATGTGAGATTGGATTCCAAATAATGGTTTTAAAAATTTTCCTTAAAACTTCTTTAAAAGAAAAACTGATAATTCCTATAGAGATTTTATGTAACCACAAATAAAACAGTATCAAGAGAAAAATTTAGTGACTTCTAAGGCTCATTGCTATGAAACAGAAAACCTATTACTAGTAATATAATTGATCCATATATTGATCATGACTGCCTTGAAATGTGTATATATTGATTTAAATGTCTGTATTGACAATTAATGCATTTACACAAAAGTTTGTTCTAAAAGGTCTCAAATTTAAAGTTAATCTTTCTACTTTAATGTAAAATTAATCTTTTAATCTTTAAATTATCTAAGCGTACAAAGTAGAATAGTTAAACTAATTATGCTATATTAATGTAGAGGAATATTTTATAACTATTAAGATGTTCTGAAGTAATTTTTGTGACATAGGAAAATGTCTAATTAAGTAATGGGATAAAACTAGATATATCTTATGATCCATGCTATTTTATTGTGTCCATGCATATATAATTGCAAATTTGAAAAAAAATGTTAACAGAAGTTATTTTGCATGGTGGAATTGTGGGAGTTCTTTTACATTTTTATTTTATTAACATTTTCCAAATGTGCCATCATTAATATGTACCATTTTATAAATTTTTAAATAACCATCCCCATTTTGTATGGAAACTTCTTTGTGGTATATATGAAGAAAACATGTATGACACAATATCTAACTTGTCAGAAGAGGACAAGTATTTTATGTACACATTTTTTTCATTATTTGTAACTACTGAGTCATCGAAATCAGTCCTGGAAAAGGGCAGCTGGTCCATTTGAGGCCAAATGGCCAAGATGATCCATTACAAAAGAACTTTGAGAAAAAGGTATCGCACGACAAGGCTTGAGAAGTCCTGATGCCGTCATATAGTCCTGATGACTATAGTTCTGTGGGTTTGCTTTTTTTAACATCAAGGTTAGGTCTCAAAGTTTCCTCCAAGAATGCAAGTGCATATGTGCATTGAGAGCTGAAAACACATGCCAATCTCATTCTTGAGTCTCCTGTTTTTGAAACCCTGCTTACTTACTCTTTTGGTTATATTTCTGGCTCTCATACTTGTAGAGATCCATCAGGATAAGAAAACATAGCTCAGGTCAACGTTTTGTTAATATAAACCCCTTGATAAAGCTTAACTACGTGTTTCTCTGAGAAGCCTAAATAATTCAAAGTATATGTTGAAATCCAGTTTCTTAGTTTTTCAGATGAATAGCAAACCACTTTGGATAAATCTAGTTTTTGCATATATTTCTCAGAGATTTTTTATTTTTCTCAGACAGAGTAAGAGGTACAGATTTTTGTTTGCTTCTTTGCCTTATAAATTTCTCCAATAGCTTTGATTATTAAAAATGGAAATGAAGATACAGAAATAAATAGCAATCAAATCATCCTAGTGGAAGGCTATTTTCTGAATAGCCATAAAACGGTTTTGGAAGTGGTCTTCACTGCTTCAGATTCTTGTCTATATAGTAATATGAAAACATTTTCAACAATTCTCTGGAGACTGAAAGGGTTAATATTTCTAAAACTGCTTAACTTAAATCAGGTGAGTGTTTAGGTGGTATGAAACTCCAACATATTTTTTAATTTATAGAAATACTGAAACTTGGCATATCGTGTCTGAATGAACATAACATGAACATTCATTTATTCAAAAGTATGCTGCCTGCTCGGCGTGGTGGCTCACACCTGTAATTCCAGCACCAGCAATTTGGGAGGCCGAGGCGGGCAGATCATCTGAGGTCAGGAGTTCAAGATCAGCCTGGCCAACATGGCGAAACCCCCTCTCTACTAAAAAATACAAAAATTAACGGGGCGTGGTGGCAGGCACCTGTAATCCCAACTACTTGGGAGGCTGAGGCAAGAAGAATTGCTTGAACCCAGGAGGCAGAGTTGCAGTAAGCCGAGATGGCACCATTGCACTCCAGCCTCAGCAACACAGTAAGACTGTGTCTCAAAAAAAAAAAAAAAAAAAAAAAAAAAGTACACTGCCTTTAAGAGATGAATGTCTTTGGGAAACAGTTTTTCGTCTCTCATCATTCTTATGAAGTAGCTCAAGAGAAGGAAGTGCAATACACATTGTAAATATGACAAAACAATAAACCAATTTGCTAATCTTACTACTACACAGGGCAAACATGATCCAAGTAGAAATAAACAATAGCTTTATTTATTCATTTGCATTATAATCTAATTAAATAAACTCAGCCTATCAACCAATAATTCATTTCTTACACTATAGTAACATTTTTTCAGGCAAATAACAGACGTTTTTGTCTCATGGTGCAATTGCTGTAAGTTAAATTGATTCAATTTAATTAACAAGCATTTATCCAGAGCCTACTTGTGCACAGCACTATACTAGGCATACAAGAGAGTTAGAAGATATAACCCCTGCTCACAGAGAATTTACAATCAGAACAAGAAAGATAATCCATGCATTCAAAAAGTAATAAGGAACCATTACCAATCACATGAAAATCTATATAAATAATAGGCTCTGAAGTAAAGACACAAGAGCCCAAAGAATCCTAAAAAAGGAGTGACATTATTAAGGGTGAAAGCTAATCTGAAAAAGATAACCAGAGGAATAAAGTTTAGAATTGTCAGGGAAACAGTGCAATTATTCTATGGCCAATAGAGTTTCTCCTTCTTTTCAATCATCAGTAGATGATGATTGAAAAGAAGGAGAAACTAAAAGACAGAATCATAAAAAATAGCAAGTCAACTGCAGGGAATGGTAGGCAAATTGGCTTAGCTTTGGAAAGGCACACTGAGTTAGGAGATGCAATTGAAGTCATACAACAAGGCTAGTGAGGGCATTGAGTGTTACTATTTAAATTCAATTCAAAGTGTGAATCTACAATAATGCTTAAACATATCTATATATTAAAGCCCTCCACAGAAGTGTGTTTACTTAACCTTAACGAAAAGCAAAGAAAAAATTATAGAATATTAGAATCTAAGTTTACAGGATATGATTACTAGAGTAAGTAATTAGACAAACATAGGCAGGGCAAGAGAGGGCCCCCTCAACCCACAGGAATGTCAGGTGGCCATTAGTTGCTGGTCAGGTGGTTTTTAAACTCTCTCTTTAAAATAATAATTGGTGGCAGCCAGTGCCAGGGAAAGGCAGGCTCCCAACAGACAGAAAACACCTGAGCTGGAGATCTCAGGAGTTGGACAAGTGGGCTCAAGCATGTGCACTCAGCAAAATGGCAGAGTTTAACTGGTATATGACCTTCTTCTAAGAATGCTGGAATGGTAAGGGAAAATGCCACAAGTGAACATGCACACAACTTCAGTAACACATTGTGCACATAGCTCCTCCCAAGTGGTGGCAGGCCACTGAGCACACAGAGAGCCCATCTCCCCAAAATATCAGGGGAGGAGAAATGCAAACCCCAGAACCATGCCAATGTATAAAACCCCAGGTCAAAAGCTGAACAGGGCAGTTGGAACTCTCAAGCTGCCCACTTGGCTTTCTTCCAAGTGTACTTTATTTCCTTTTGTTCCTGCCCCAAAACTTTTTAATAAACCGCTCCTGCTCTAAAACTTGCCTCAGTCTCTCCCTCTGCCTTAAATCTACTTCTGCCCCGCAGCTGATTTCTTCCCTCCAAGGTGGCAAGAATCCTATCAAGTTTGATGTAAACCTGTATGGATTCACCGCCAACATAATCACTGGAAGACAAATGAGCATGAGCAGACCGAGGTAACAGCAGTCATTTATGACGTCTTTCCTTTTTGTTTTTTAACTTCAACTCATAAAAAGTTAGGCTGTATAAGACTCATGTACTGTCTCAAGGTAAGAGGTCTTCAACTCAGTGCTATCCAAGCCCCAATTCACATAGGATTTTATTTATAAAAAGCCTATTTCTCTTCATACTGAACCCAGCACCAAATACAAAGGTTTTAGGTATATATTTGCAGGGGGTATGGGTGGGGAAGCGGGTAGAAAAAAAGAGAAAATAAGGTATTGGTTTCAAAAAGTGAGTTAATGAATGATTACGAGTACTTTTTTCGCAGATATTTCTGAACTTAGAGGAAAAAGGATGAAATATATTTGCTCTCAGTTTAAGAAAACTAAGGCAAAAGAAATGTATAAAATGAAAGTTCATATAAGTAATTTCTTTTTAATTAATCCACCAACGAAACCAGTAAATTGTATTGCTGGATCACACCCACTTCTAAAATCAATTGGTTAAAAAAAAAAAAAAAAAGTCACGAAATGGAGCAGGGGAGAGAGTCGCTGCACAGAAACAGTTTCTGAATTTGGAATAAGGTGAAGATTCTTTTTGCTCAGGTAGGATTCATGATGCCTTGATTGCCCGGAATGACCTCGAAAATCCATCGGGGTAGAACAGGAAAACAGAAGTTCCACAATACTTGTTCTCTGGGCCTTCACAGATTTGAAACAGCAAGGCAAAGTGAACCTTCTCTGGGTTCTCAGGATACTTATGACTGGCCACCAGCAGCTGCAGCTATTAAAAAAAAAAAAGAAACAAACAAACAAAAAAACAGTGAGAGAGAGAGAGGAAGATGAAGAGGATGAAGAAGAGGCAAATAAAAACGTAGCTTTCAGTGTGCTTAATGGTTCTGAATGAGGTGGCCAGAAATAAAAAAATCTGTATTGTCCCACAATATTTAGCATTTTTATGTTCAAAATATTTTCATGTTTCTTAGTTTGCAAAGTCTTCACAAATTCTAAACAAGGGAGAATGAAAGTACTACTTTTTTTTGGTAACATTTATATATTATTTCTTATGTGATGAATAGATAAATGTATTCCTTTCATATTTTTTCAATAAAAGAGTTCCTCATTTTTCAGTAGATATTCAGTAGGTATTTACTGGGTAGCCATACACATTATGGAAACATATCAGATGAATAGCAGCCTATAGCATTATACTATCATTTAAAACAATAAAGATAACAATAAGCCTTAATTAGAATTTAGATCTTATAAGTCAGAATTTTCCATTCTTAACCACTAATTTGATAATATTAAATTATACAAAAGCACTGCTGGTATGTGTGATGTGTGTGCTTCGAACATTTCATCTTCTGCAAAGACTAGACAATTCTAATCAATTGTCTACCACTAAGGTAGACTCCATCCCAGACTCCATTTAAAAACAATACCCCAGGTAAGCACTGTGGGATGAACAGAGTGAAGATGGAGATAAAACCATTGCTCTCCTGTTGTAGGAAATACAAAGATTTCCCTAAACTGCAGAGGTAAATACACTGAATTGAACTTTCACCTTTTCACAAACATGACAGTCAAGAAATTTTGGGGGTGTTGGGGAGGATGGAGGAGGTTGTTGCATAAACCTACAAGGAAGGGGAGAATAGGAAAAGAGACGATGATAAAATTTTAGAAGCTGGAAAGCAGACAGATTAGTGATACATGACTTACCAATTCTAAGAAACTGAAAAGCTAAGCCAGGGGAGGAAAAAGACAGTAAGCAACATAATCTACACACAAAATCTCCAAAATTCTCAGTAATGCACAGCAACAGGTACCTCTGGAAGTCAGGAACCAATACAAAGAGGATGTTTTAGCTGTCCATTTAAGAAGCAGTCAAGCTTGGTGGGGCAAAGGGGTGGGGTTATTAAAAAACGAAGCAGCAGCCGGGAGCGGTGGCTCATGCCTGTAATCCCAGCACTTTGGGAGGCCAAGGAGGGCAGATCACAAGGTCAGGAGTTCGAGACCACCTTGGCCAATATGGTGAAACCCTGTCTCTACTAAAAATTCAAAATAATTAGCCAGGCGTTGTGGCGCATGCCTGTAATCCCAGCTACTAGTGAGGCTGAGGTAGGAGAATTGCTTGGACCTGGGAGGCGGAGGCTGCAGTGAGCTGAGATCGTGCCATTGCACTTCAGTCTGGGTAACAACAGCAAAACTCCGTCTAAAAAAAAAAAAGAAAAAAGAAAAAACAACAACAACAAAAGCAGCAGCAGTTAAAAGACTGAGATCTGAGATCGGCTTCGCTTGGTACAAATGAATAATTGCTCCCCCGCCCCAACTGCAGCCTTTAATCTGGCAGAAGGCCAGAATAATTTTTTTTCTAAAAAGAGTAAAACAGAGATGCGTCTGGGCTAGAAGACTACAAGGAGTGCCGCAGTAAAAACAGGGGCCAAGTGAGCATTTGTAGGCTGAACGCTGAGTCCCGCCCGTGTCGATTTTCCCACGCAGGTGCTACAGGTTTGCTGGGCAATCCTTTACTCCCTGGGCAGGATTTCAGAAGTAATTTTTCTTAAGAATCTGATCAGCCTAAAAGGAAAAGCCCAAAAATACTGACAAGGGGGTCAGCAGCAGCCCAGGCAGAGTCCTTCAATGAGGATCTGCCCACGAGCCCCACCCACTTGCCTAGAGCTTCCAAACCCACCTTTGCCTCCTACCCTGAAATATGAGCTGAGAGTCACAAAGCCGGGGATCACCAAGCAAGGGGGAAAGAAAGGACAAAACAGCTTAGAGAAAACAGACTATCAAAGGCAAGAAAATGTCAAAAACAGTTATTAATATTTTCATAAAGACAGAACAAGTCATTGCAGCCATTGAACAAGGACAGCATGCTGTTTAAAAAAGAATTAAAGAAGAAAACAGCTTGCAGAAACTAAAATTATAATAGCAAAAGTGAAGAGGCAAAGAGAAATGTTAAAATTTAAAGATAAGGAAATATTCATGGGTAAAGCAAAGAGACAAGGGGAATGTAAGGATGAAAAATAAATAATAGGAATTCTACATGCAAAGAAAAAAAACAACAGAAAATGAATGGAAAGAATTCATAAAAATTCCCTGCAACCAAATAGCAGAAGAACCCACTGATGAGTACACAAGGAATAAAAACAGATCCATGCAAGACACATCATCATGAAATTCAGAACAGGCAGATAAGGAGACCCTATTGCGTTCCAGATTGGAAAACCAAACAATCAAAAACACAAGTTGCTCAAAAGACTAGAATCACAATGGCTTTAAACTTCTCAATAGCAATAGTGGAATACAGAAGGCAATGGGAAACCTCTGAAAAAATATTATTCCGAAGGGATATTATTTCTAATATAATTAGATGAGTATTTTTGACACTCAAACTACCAGTCAAAAGGGGGAGTAAGAGAAGGACAATTCCAGACATGGTCTCAGAAAATTTGCCTCTCACACGTCGTTTCTTACCCACAAAATGTGAGCAAACCAAAACAGGGGAAGTTGGAGAAAATGGAAAACACGACATCCAAAACAGGATAGAGTGACAGAGATCCTGCTGAATGACAGTGAAGAAAAATGAAAGGATGACAGCTGTAGCCCATACACCAGCTGAAATTGGAGAGGTTCGGAAGATTCTGGGAAAGATTTCTCCAAGGAAATGAAATGGATAGATAACCCAGTATGTCTGAATATATTGAGAGTATAATTCAATCAATAACAGAGATTTGGAAATTAAATGAATCACTGAAAAAAAATATATAAAAAAGAAAACGTTTAAAAATAGAAATTCTGAATCCTGAGAAAACTTAAAAGTATGCACAAGTACCATCGTTTACTGCTTAGCCCAGCTGTGAAGACATTGTGTGTCCATAATAATGTATACTGGCCTAACCAAAATAATAATATAACTACATAGTAGAATGCATAAAGAGACTGGGGCAAGAGTCTAAAAACGTTTTAAGAATTACCTACTAAAATTTATTATCTCTATTGTAGTTATTATCTCCATTATTACCTACAAAGGATATAATAATTTTAATAGATAACACTTCAAAGTCAAGAAATTACAACAAAATTAGTCAATTTGGAGATAAATATCTAAAATCAATTTAAAAACTGAAAGTGTCTTGGGGTAGTTGAGTGTATGGGAGGGGAAGAGAGCAGAATTAATGTAGGAGGCGGAAGAAGATGGTGTTTTTCATGATAAACTTTATAGAATTATGAAACTCTAAATAAAAAAACTCTAAATTGTGCACACATGCAGCTTTGATTTGAAAAATTAAAAATTTTATTTAAAAAGTCTGATAACTGTACAGCACTGTAATCATTTAATTCAGCACCCAGCATTTAGCCTTACATTTCTGCATGCTAGATAGAAAAGAGAGAGGAAAAAGAAAAAAGGCTAAGTATGAAGAAGGCAACAAAAGCAAGTCTTGAACATGTTGTTTGGGGCCACCCAGCATCTTTGTCCTCTTCTCTTAGGTAGGTGTGCCCTCCCCAGTGCATTTCATGTGTCAGGAAAACTGACCAATCCCAGGTCCAAGGGTGGGTCCTGACTCAGACAAGTATGGTAAGTTACATTGACTGGCATAGGAATGGACACATGACCCATTTGGGGCCAATCGGAAAGAAGGAGAGATTGAGGAATTTCTAGGAAAGAAGTTTTACAGTCTGAGGACATGGCATTGGAAGTTGCTGCATCCATTCCTGCTGCCATAAAGGTCAGCCAGTGTGAAAGGAGGTTAGCTTCAGAGATTCCCAGAGAGGTGGGCTCAGACCTGACCCTCTTCTAAGAATAAAAACTACCCTGAAGTCTGGGCTCGGTGGTTCATGCCTATAATCCCAACACTCTGGGAGGCAAAAAGGAGAAGATCACTTAAGCCCAGGAGCTCAAGGGCATCCTAGGCAACATAGTAAGACCTCATCTGTACAAAAAGATTAAAAATTAGCTGGGCATGGTGGCGTGCACCTGTGGTCCCCACTACTCAGGAGGCTGAGAAGGATCACTTCAGCCTGGAAAGTTGAAGCTGCAGTGAGCTGAGATCATATCACTGCCCTCTAGCCTGGGCCACAGAGCCAGATTATAACAAAAAAAAAAAAAAAAAAAAAAAAAAAAAAAAGTGGCCTGAAGCCATACATACCATTTCCCTGCATTTGTGTGACCAAAAAAATTACTCTTTCTTAATTAAACTAATTTGAGGGTTTTCTTACTTACAGTAAGGAAACAGTCCTACTAATATAAAGAGTTTTAAAGTTAGGAGTGAGGTAAAGGTTGGAAAAGATTTTCATTAAAGTTCATAGGTATCGCCTTTCCATGGGGAACTCAAAGCATAGTATTAATTTTGGCACCTAGAAGTTGGCTTTATTCTAAGATTTTTAAAATTAAAGAGGTTTAAAAAAAAAGAAAGAAAAAAGAAAGTTTAATAAATTAGAAAGGGCTTCTGGCAATCAGTGAACCCTCTTGGGATCTTCTCAGCATATCCTTCCATGTATGAAAATAGTCAACATGGGCAGGAGAGCATCTGCATTTGTATCTGCTGTTTGTATATGACTATATGGGGGACTTCATTTTCTGTGCATTTTCAAGATCACTTTCAAAAATCATTACTGCCAAGTTTACATGCCAACATTTTCATTTCTCTTTTTTTTCGTCCAATTAGAAAATAACCAAATCCCCTGGATGTGATGCCTGAGAAGGGCTAAAAAGGTGGAGGGTAAGGACTGTTGCATGACTTGCTGACGGCAATAATGCCACTTGCCATCCAATGGAGAAAAAGCAAAAAAAAAAAAACAAAAGGAAACATAAACCTATCTCCAACCTGCTCGTGCAGCTGCCATTTTCTTGTTTCGCATTTTGTTCTCCAAAGCTTGCTACACAATAAAAAAATGAGAGAAAAAAATTAGATTTCCCAGTGCTTTCTACTACTTACATTAATAAAGATAATATTTCTATGAAATAAATTGTATCTTACCATTTTCATCTTCTTTTTTAGATCCAGATTCACTGCCTTCTGGCCCTTGGCAGTAGCATTGAGATAATAGATAGTCAAACTAAATTAAAAAGAAAAAAGGATATGATTTAGGGTATTTTTCAGTTCCCCAGAATACATCTTAAATTTCCATTAATTTAGTTATGAAATATCAGCATGGGAATGAACATTAAGTTATTTTGTACTGTAAATCTCTTGTCTTATAGATAAAAGCTGAGGTCCAGAGGTAAAGAGACACACTCAGATGACAGAGGGATGAAGCTGGGGTGAAGCTGGAAAGCTGGGGTCCAAGGCTCCTGATCCACAGCCTGCTCTGTCTGCTATTTCACACTGCCTCATATCAGCTTCTTCCTGGAAATGTATTAACATCAGTTTAAATTATAATTGAAAGTAGCATTTTAAATGGTTGGCAATGGCATCCCAGAGAATTGAAAACCTACTGCAGTTTAGGGAATATGTCGAACAAAAAGGAAAACGGCTTTCTGCCTTAAATTTTGTCCTTTGGCCTTTGCAGCTAAGAATGTAAGCCTCATAGGCATAGATAACGAACATGGAATTTTTTCCGTAGAATGTATTGTTTGCATTTACTTCTCCCTCAAAAAGAAAATGTTGTATAAAGGAATATTCTTGGATTTTAAATGACATTTACATTCTAGAAAGGGCAAATTCTAGCCAGACAATTCTGTAAAAATAAATATGCTTACCTTCACTTAACGCAAAACGAACAAACAAACAAAGAAAAAATGCAGTAGAAAAGGTAACTTACTCTTTGCTGCAAATAACTGGATATTGAACATATTTCCTCTACTCCCCAAAATGCAAGACAATATTCTTTATGAGCCATCTGGTTCTAGCAACATCATGATTGACATGGTTTGGCTGAGTTTGTTTATCTCTTACGTGAGTGATAGGAATTTAGCTAAGATTACATACATAAAAGCATGCAGGACAATATCTGGCATGAAACAGGTGCTCAATAAATGTGTGTGTGTGGTGTATTATAAGGATTTTCTTAGAAAAGTTCCTGGATTTGGAGGATGAACTCAAAAGATTTCACAAGTCATTTTAAGTTCTGGAATTCTCTATTTATCCACCATGTTTTTCTGCCTTATAATGCACATTAAATAAATATTCCTCACAAATCTTTTCCTAGTCTCTAAAGGAATGAAATTGCCTACAGAGAACTAACCTGAAGTCTGCTTAGATACCCAAAAAACATCCAGGTTAATTTAATATAATCCACTGGGGGAAATTCAAAATACTAGTACAACTCTCTAAATAAAGGTAATAAAAAGCTAAACCAATTGTATGGGCCCCATAAAGTAGAAGATGAGATTTCCGAATTTGAAAAAATAAAATAAGCAATAAACTAAAATTTGAGTTTTAAATCAGAACCTCAGAGCTACAATCAACCTTTCAGGACATCTATTTGACACTTGCATGCTCCCAGCTTTTCACCAGGCTGTCCAGATCAAAGCAAACTAGGTCCTGCAGGCTGAAAAGGACCGCCAGACTGTTTTGTATGGCCCATGAACTAAGAATTGTTTTTCTGTCTTTAGATGCTTATATTAATAACAACTTAATTAGATCCTCAATTTTGCCTCTTGGCCTAAAATGTCTGCTATCTGATCCTTTAATTAGAAAAAGTGTGCTGAGGCTGGGTCTATACCATCTCTATCAAATGGCTTTCAGCCCATCTGGAATTCCCACTGATTCTGATCCCTGTTTGGTGCTGCAAGTGAGTGTAGGAAATAAGTGTGAAGAAGAAGACCTGAATTTAAATTCAGGTCTTAGTCACTTGATTGGGACCTAACTTCAATGTGTTATTGATAGTATGATTAATGAAGCCAACTTCTCAAGGCTGTTATGGGAATTAAACAAGTCAGTGTAAAAATAGTGCCTGAAACAAGGCAGTGTTCCTTTTAAACACTCTTAGGACCAATTACAAAATCTTTGGATTAAGGCATTTGAACAATGCCACTCCTTTACTTAAAAACAAAGATATCTCTGAATAAATTAAGAATATAGTAACAAAATCTGACATTTACATTGTGATTGTGTGTGTGTGTGTGTGCGTGCATGTGTGTGCGTGTATGTGTGTGTGTGTGTGTTTTAAACAACATCTCATTTATAGCACTACAGGGCCTTGACTCTTAAAGGCTACAGGATACTGATTACTATGCTCTCAGAAGCCACTGTATCATGGAAATATAGAGAAAGAAAATCGTTTCAAAGGCCATCTGGTGAAACATGCTGCATTCAGTGGTCATTTTCTAATTCATCTGTGCCAGAGATTTACTATCACATTCTTAACAGCACCCCATTATCAAGGTTATATAATATATAATGGTAATCTGATTTACTGTTTAATTATCCCTTCAGGTTATTAGCTCTCCCTCACAGAAAGAATCCTGGTAAAAAGACGTGAGCACTGGATTTACTGTCAAAGGTTCTGCTTTAGGTCACACTATGACCATTTTACTCTCTCTCTCTCTCTTTCTCTCTCCCCCCCCCACCCTCACCTAGGGAAAATCACTTTCTTTCTGTAAGTCAAATTCTTAGGTAATAAAATTGAAGAAGATAAACCTGCCCTCACTACTTTATGTGGCTTGTGATCATGACAGTAACTGGGTCAAAATCCCTGCTCATTTACTGCAAACCACTGTGAGTTCTCTCCCTGAGATTTCCTCGCCTTACCTTTATTTAAATGAACCCAATCCTTTGCATCAACTTTGTTCCTAAAGTGTCCTTGGTGTTGTTTAATATTTACCCAATGACTGAGAGTCACGGCAGTTCCAGGTGTTCTATGTAGGAGGCACTCGGGGACTTGAAAGGAAGAGCCAGACACTGCGTTTGGCTATTCCACAGCAAGTCAATACTTTTACTCAGAATCTAAGTTTATCTGTGGTGGCCAAGAGTCAGAAGCCAATGAACGTTATATGAAAACAAAAGTCATCTGCCAAGTTCCCCTTTTGAAATCACTTCTGAGTTTCAAGGGACAGACTACAGAAACTTCCCAAAACCCTCTGGTCCTTGATTCTATTATCGTGAACACAGAGTTATTGGCAGCCCTCTAATAACAAGCACAGGGCAATTTTTAAGATCCTTTAAGCCCTTGACCCTAAAATATAGACTTTAGGGCCCCCAAGGGGAATATTAACTTAGAGGCTCATTATTTCTATATATTCATAGCCATCTGCTCTATGGAACAAGAGGTGGAGGCCAGGTTGTTGGGGGAAAGCTCAATGTCCTGATTAGATTAAGCATTTAGCATTTATATTTCCCTTGCTTTAGCTGTTTACAGATAATTACTTTGGTTACTTGGGAACAAATCTTATAATCCTGGGGAAGCAAAGACAGATGCAGATGGCTGTGAATTACATCCAATAGGATCAGAATATGGCTCATGAATTTTAGCCTCTCACCACCATGTAATCAGTGTTGAATTTGGGTAAGTTACAGCACAACCCTTAGGGAGAGTGAAAGCGCTTAAAAAGCTGAAAAGTAAAAGCATCCAGGAAGAACATCACAAAGCCTCTTTCTATGAGGAGGGAAAGCACGTACGCCATCACCAAAATGACAGCAATGACCAGCCCAGGGTTGGAAAGCTGTCTCAAGATCTTCGCCATCCAGCTTGGGAAATCATGCTCCAGGGTCTCTCCAATGACTTCAAACATTCTATTTTTGCCACTAGGGGAATTAAAAAAGGGGAGACAAGTTTATTAAGAACATATGGAAAAACCATGGTTACAGGAAGAAAACTGTAACTCTTTCCCCATTACTGCTTAGGTCCTCTTTCAGGTTAGGAATCTGATGTTTAGTTACAACTGCTGACACACTGACCTCATGTAGTCAATAGACGGGTAAGATATGAGAAATATGATCCCAATATAAACATATACTCAAAGCAGTTATGAAATTAACCACATACGTAGGAGGAGATTTTTTTAAAACTGTATTTCTAAGATTTTTCTTGAAATATGTTTTGTAAATAGCTCGTAAGTCTGCCTCTCAGTCAGCTGTTCTTGCAGGAGAACACTCTCTTTGAGCTAAGTAAACAGTGCACTCAATTTTTAATTAGCCTTGGAAATGAGAGCAAGGAATAGCCCAGTGGAATAAAATCCACATATAATCCAATATCTTTCCACGCAAGAGCTTCCATCTCATTTTCCACCAGACTTCCTTCAGCAGATATGTTAATAGGTAAGGTAACCACACCGAATAATGGATTCTTTCCCTCTCAGTTTCTTCTCCTGGACAGGCCCGAATGAATACCAGCTTAGCTCTACTGCTAAAGGCCATGAAGGCCAGTATCAGCCAGTATCTATAAACTAGAAAGATGAGAACAGGATGTCTTGACTTACAATAGAATAGCTAGAATTGTACCATAATATTCATTATACCATTATTTTTTCTGTATACGCATATTTATTTTACTATGAAAAGATGAATTTTCAGAAGAGATTTGGATTGGGTTTCGCCAAATTGTATGCATCTTCAGAATAAATGTGGGTGCAATATTTAATATAATGTTTAGTTTTGCTTTTGTATTTTAATCTTTAAGCATTTTCAACTACCAATGTGTGTCATTGTTAGACACACAAGTCAGTCCCAGATTGTTTTTTTTCTCCATATCTAACCAATACTATCTTCGAACAGACAGAGTGACTCCAAGTATTTTGTCAGTAGTCATTGGACTACAGAGGTAAAAGTTTTGCTTCACAAATTAAAGCTCTACAACCTAATTTTCAAGATCTATGATACATAAGAAGGAATGAAGCTTACAAGCAATATAAGATTATAACACCCTATTCCAGTAAGTTTTATTTTTCACCATTCCATTCTAATTGTTCATACCCCCCAATACAACCTTAGCCAGATGGAATACAGGATAAGCAGATACATTAAAAGTACCAAAAAAGATAACACCCTCTATCCTCCCTTCTCCAGTACCTCAGGTTATAGCTGATGGATGTGGTTAGAGTGGGGGGATTCAAATTTTATGAAATTATCTCTACCCACAAAGGCCTTCCCAGCATCCACTGTGACCCAAAGCAAAACTGCTGAGTCCCTGGGGATTCTTGTATATCTTTTTCATGTCAGGCCTGTTACCAAACAAAGGAGTCCAGATACCTTAATTACATACAAACTATAGAAGCATCTACAAATCCTTGGCAATGCCTTCTCCTGCCAGGTTAGCCAAAGTGTGTTACTACACAATATACTCAGAATTCTTTTCCAGTTGTCTGTGCCTATCCATCGTCCTGCTGTAGGCATAGTGCCACTCTAGATTAGAACTGCTTATGAGGAGGCCTATCTTCCCAGCTGGGTGATAAGCTTCACAGGACCAGAATCAATGCTTAATGCACGGACTTAACCCTTTGTTTCCTCTAGTGCTTAGTGCACAATATGCAGACATTATTCATTCATTAATTCAAACTATTGATCAGCACTTTACTGTGTCCTAGACCTACGAGATGAAAATGCGCTATCCCCAATCTCTACAAGTCAACAAAACTATTAAGAAAAATAGATGCATAAAGCATGATTGCAAAAGAGTAATATAATAGCAGTGTCACAATATAATGCTAACTTTTAAAACTAAAAACCTGCACCTAGTATACTGATAGGAACAGGAGGAAGCCAAATGCCTAGGCAGATAGGGGCAGGTACCTGGTGAAACACCACCTCCAAGCCAAAGACAGTTTAAAGCCTGAAAGCCAAGCTACAAGTTAACTCCTCAGACCAGTTTGAGAACTTGTCTTCCTGTTTGGGGCACTTTCCTTTGATTGATCCCCTATATAGGGGAAAACCAATTAGGATAGGGTAGGTATATGTAATGCGCTGTTGTCTACTTTGAGTGGTATCTTCATTTCAACCTTTTTTGCATACTCACAAACCAATCAGCACACATTCTCCATCCTGTGCCTGTAAAGACTACAGACTCAGTTGGTAGAGGGGAGAGACAGCCTGACTTTGGGGAAGAGACAACCTGACTTCGGGGAAGATGGCCTGCCCCTCCTGGCCCCTCTCCAACTCCCCTCTCTGCTGAGAGCCAATTTCATCACTCAAAAAAATTCTCCACCTTCACCATCCTTCAATAATCTGTATGACCTCATTCTTCTTGGATGCCAGACAAGAGCTCAGGGCCCACCAAATGTGGGTACTCAGGAAAAGCTGTCGCACTGGCCCTTTGCCCTCCCCGGCAGAGGGCAGCTGCCCCATGTAATGAGGCAAGGGGCCAGCTGAGCTGCTAACACACTGCCATCCATTGGGCTGAGGATGGTGGAGCTGAGGAAGCACTGTAACACCCCCTTTGGGACTTCAGAGTCATGGGCATCCTCACTTGGGCACCACTGCGTTCCCCTCAAGGTGACACAATTAGCCTGGCCATGGGCCCCACACGGAGCTTGCTCTTGTGTCAGTGCAGGCCATGTCTAGCCAGATCCTGCACTCGCCTGCTCACGTACTTCCTCCCATAAGGGGTTAACCACAGCAGGCCGAGTAGACAGGGTGCCCCTCTGTGAGTCCAGCAAAGGAGCTGAGGAACATCCTGTATCCATACAATCTCAGTTATGAAAAATTATGCTTAAAAGGCAAACCAGAGTATAAAATGCTAAAACATTATTTCAGGTTTCCGAGATTATAGGCAGTGTTTCTTTTCATGTAAAAATGTTTCTATAATTTTTAGGTTTTCTAGCATAAGCACATATTATCTTTGCAGTAAGATGAATATACATGAAAAATAAAATTGCCATAATGTAAACACAGACATGTATAAAAACCTAGAGAACCACAAATTGTTCAGAAATATTGACATAGATGAAAGGAAACATCAGTGTCAGGAAATGAGATAGAACAATTAGAATTGTCTTCATCTGCACATCAAATAAATAGTTTTTAAATTGTCAACTGTTTAAGATAAATCCACTGGCCACCCTGTTAGAATAATTTCTTGGAAAATTTACCCTCTCTAGCCAGGTCTTATTAAAACCAGACAAGCTAAAATATCTCATCAAATTGCTTCATTGAATGGATAAATGTACTATAGCCATCTTACCTGAAAACTTTCCTGCACTGGAGAGCAACTAGCCATCACTGTGATACCTCCAGTAACCTAGTTCAGATTCATTCTTTCTAAATTGCTGCTTGCCCAGGAGCCAGATAGAGTCAGACAACCTTCACCAGGAAGGTTAAGCAAATCACCTAAAACTCAGGGTTAATAAAGATGACAAACCATGAGGTACCTACTAATACAAGCATTCTCACTTCATTTCTAGAGCAAAACAATCCTTTCAAACTTTTAAGTCCAGACTAATAAACAATGTCAATATCCTTTGGCTCCAAAATGAGGAAACCGATAGGAAAAAAAAAATCTAAATAGCATAGAGATATCCCTTCCGAGTACTCCACTGAAAATATTTAAATTTCCCTGATTTCTCAAAAATAACCCTACAGAACTGACTCAAGTAACCAAACACTACCAGTTCCCCAATAACCAATGGAAATTAAAAAATAAATAACTAATTAAAAAAATAAAAAAATAAATTTCCCTGATTTCAAAATAATGATTTATGTGCAGTAATTTTTCCTAAGTTTGCCAATTAGAAAACTCTTGGTCAAAGTCAGATACTATGGCTTAACACAAACTATTTTTTTTTTTTTCAGTAAAAATCAGAGTAAATCAGTGTGTGACATAAGGAAAGCCAGAAGAGTTAGGGCTTAACAAGCTGAAATTGTGCAACTATCGTTCATGTCTAACTCAATGGTATTGTAAATCTGAATGCATCTGTGTAACCACCACCCAGATTCATGTTTACATTGTGTGGTTGCCCTAACAGACAGCTAAGGTCCTTTGCTATGTTTTACTGAGAAGGATCAACTTCCAGTTAATAGCTTAATGCAGACCTCAACTTATCTTGGATAATAAGTTGTGTGAAAAATTTGCAATTAACTAAAGCCTTTGAATGGCATATTTCTTGAAATTTGTACTCTGAGATTGGTCAGGGATTTATTGAGACGATGTCTCCATCAAGACTGTAATTTCATATTTAGTCTCCAGATGTCACTGTCTGCATTATTTATTTCAGCCCACTTGGAAACACACACACACACACACACACACACACACAGAGGAATTAACAGAGCTTGTCAGCATCAGTTTTCTGAGCAGACAGAGCTTTAGTTGGTTTAGCTCAATCAGCTGACTTAATATTTTCTCTGTTTTCTGGCAAAGCAATAACTCAAACTACCGTTAGAGTGAAAATGTCTCTCATATACTTAGTCTGTTAGCAATGAACCTTTTGACTTTAATCAAATAACGGGTCTGACAACATAAAGGCAGAATTATATGTAGGCATTACAGCATCATGCATATAATTCACATGGCTGTGTTTTTTTTGAAATAGATTCACTCTGTCACCAGGCTGGTGGAGTACAGTGGCACGATCTTGGCTCACTCCAACTTCCGCCCCCCGGGTTCAAGTGATTCTCCTGCCTCAGCCTCCCAGGTAGCTAGGATTACAGGTGCACGCCACCACACCCAGCTAATTTTACATTTTTAGTAGAGACGGGGTTTCACCATGTTTGTCAAGATGGTCTCGACCTCTTGACTTAGTGATCCGCCTGCCTTGGCCCTACAGGCATGAGCCACCGCGCCCGGCCCACATGGCTTTTTACAGTCTCGTTTTCTTCACTGAAAAGGAGAAACAGCTCAAGAGCATGCTGGCAAGTGACTCAACATGCAGAGATTCTTGGGAGAACTTGTGGTAGAATCATTTCTAAGACCCTTTAGGGAAAGAAACCTCATCCTCCAGATCCCATGGACTTAGCTTTCTGATATGTGTCATAGAGGGAAGAGAACGCTGCCATAGAGAACTGTGGAAATGTACATCTCTACATTGGATCAAGGAGCCTTTGTGACTCTTGATTCCTCATTTGAGTGATAATTAGGAGAGAATATATATGTGGAACAGCCTTAATTTTTTTTCATTAGCATGTGGCATTTTGGATAACAAATTGGGTGGCCCTTTTTTTTTTTTTTTTTTTTTTTGAGATGGAGTTTTGCTCTTTTTACCCAGGCTGGAGTGCAATGGCGTGATCTCGGCTCACCGCAACCTCCGCCTCCTGGGTTCAGGCAATTCTCCTGCCTCAGCCTCCTGAGTAGCTAGGATTACAGGTGTGCGCCACCATGCCCAGCTAATTTTTTGTATTTTTAGTAGAGACGGGGTTTCACCATGTTGACCAGGATGTCTCGATCTCTTGACCTCGTGATCCACCCGCCTCGGCCTCCCAAAGTACTGGGATTACAGGCGTGAGCCACCGCGCCTGGCCCAGGTGGCCCTCTTTATGCTCATTAGTATTTAATAATGATTCCTCTAGGTAAAGTGTGGGGTATTCTCTGTCTCTTTCCTTCTCTCTCTCTCTCTCTCTCTCTTGTTCTCTCTCTAATGATACACATGAGAAGTAGCAATAGCTGATTGTCTGGATGTGATGGCCCTGAGTCAGGCAAACTCACATCCAGACCAGTGTCATCAGACCTTGCTCTTAGCTATCTCCTAACATGGAAATAGCTCAGATTCATCATACATGGTTTACCCAGGCAGAGCCTGGAAAATGATAAAGTATTTTCTCTTTTATGATTCCCAAATGCGGAAATAGATAGAACTTGCCTAAGAATCTCCATGTCACCTAATGAACCTGAATACCCAAAGGGTCTCATTTCTACCAACCAAAAATGCCATTGTTTGGGGAATAAAAATAGCTTATAAAATGAATGGCTATTCCCACCTCCACTCCTGAAAGAACACCATGACCAGGTCAAATTTCAAAAACAAGAGACCTGAAGGGACCACAATCAAAAGATGGCGGGAGGGACACGATCATGTACAACACAGGCATGGTGGACAGGAAGAGGATGAGAAGTAGCATGCCCAGGTAGAAGTTATTCGATCTGGAAGCTTTGAAGACCCTGGCCTCAGGAACATTGCAGCACATCACGGCCCAGCACTGGAAGTACATGGATGTGTGGAGTCGAAGGATATTGATGCCTGGGAGGCTGGGAGCAAAGAAGGAGCCCATCCTAGAAAGAAAACAGAGCTCTGCTCAATTTTGAGTCTACTCTATAACAAAGTCACACTGCACCTTGACCACCACTTTCAACCGCACAAACCCTTTTCATAAACTGCATTTTTCTATTTCCATCTTCTAAACACATTTTGCCATTTTCCATATTATTGTAGGAATTGCATATCATAATTCTTTCATAGATAGGATGCTGTTAACTAACTCTACCTATTATCATTAGTGAATTTAAACTACAACAGAATAAACAATATTTATAATTCTTTTACTTCTTTCTTCTAATTCTAAAATTAACTGTTCCTAACACTCGTATCATTGACTAATATATCTATAAATATAACTTGTTCAAAATAACCCTTAAAGTCACTCCTATTCCAATAAACTGTGCATTTGAATTCATTACTTTTATCATGAATAATGAATTTTTGCTTAATGACAGGAGGTGAGGGCTGCAATGGACCAGGACTGCACAAGTGAAAATAAAAAGTTTTGCTTAATGAAAGAAAAAATTAAAATAATTTTTTTCTGATGTTGATCATTTTCTCTTTGTAGGTGGTATGGTGTTTTAAAGCCGATTGCAAAGATGTATTTATGCCTGATAACAGTGTTTTGTTGAAAATTTCTAACTAGCTTATAGGTTTTTGAGAAAAACAATTGACACATTTATTTAAATTTAGTTTATCTGTTTACTTTCTTACTTCAGCTTGTCCTGGGAATTCTCTGCTTTGTGCATTGGAGCTTTGATAAGTATTTTAAAATACTGATTTTAGGTGGGAACCACTTAGGTAAGGTCACTTTTACTTGATGGCTTAGTTGATTATTTCAATAAAATAAGTTTCACTCTTCTTGGGTGAGAAAATTCATTAGCATTATAAATCAATACAAATAGCAATTTATTATCTCAAAATCAAAAAGAAGATAGATGGGCACTTATTTTAAAAATGTAAAGGGAGTCCTGTCTTTTCAACTGTCCTATCTATAGTGAAGCCCTCAACATTTCTCGCTAGGTTTAGCATTTTGTACTTCCTGGATATGCAGAATAGTTGTTTAGCCAATCCAATGTAAATTTGGTACATTACAGAGACATTTTAAATTTAGATGAAGAAATTATTTTTCACTATAATTGAACTTTTGCCAACCCAAAGTTAACTCATTTCTTAGAAAAGTGGAATCTTGTCACAATTTGGGTTCTTCAATACAGTGAATTTTTGTTACAGGACAGCAAGAGACAGGGAACTCCAAAAAAGTGAGCAAATAAGCAAGTGATAGTCCCAGCTAATGGGTTAGAATTGCAAAGCACTAGATTATATCCAACAATACCAATACTTGTTGATGTAATACACTTTGAGTCTTTCTAAAAATCAGGTGGCGACATCACTTGTTTCGGCCAATAAAGTATGAATAGAAAGTAGGTGTCTTACTGCTGGGTAGAAAGTTTAAAAGCCCCGTGTGGTTTTTCCTTCTCTTCTCTCTGCTACTGTGATAGCGATGTTTCAGATAGATCCTATTCCATCTGTCTATGTCTCCAAAGTGAAGATAAGTTCTAAGAGCAAAGCTTTTCTTCCACCCCACATTGAACATGCTCTTTTTAAGAGCTGCTAAGATTTTGAGATTGTTTCATTGCTGCATAACTTAATCGATTCTAAAATGTAATTTTGCACATAATTCAAAATTGAGACTTGCCTAATACCACATATATTTGTATTTATATACATGCACATTGTTTGTATGTATATTCTTATTATTTGTGCATGAATCTATAAATAAACTTTAAAATTTAAAAATAAATATCACAAAGACATTTTGAACAAATAACTCAAGAGCCATAACCTAGAAAAACAAGTCCTGGCATAATATCTGAATATTAATGCTCATCCTATAGGCTCATAAATCACTTATCACCTCGGCTCACTAAGTCCCTTACCCAGACCTGATCCCATCATCTGTCAGTAAAAATCATTGTAATACCTTAGCCTTATAAAATGCTTTTCTTCCAGGAAGATCAAAGAAAATGAAAGCTTCTTTTATTTAACTCTCCCTATTACTTCAGTGACATGTACATGTCAGGTAAATTATTCACATCTGATCAACTGAGAAAGTAAGGGGAAAAAGGTGATAAACCTGGCTGAGGGTACCCAATGAAGTGGTGCTGGAGCAGTGTCCAAATTCATTTTCTCTCTCACTCTGTGTTCTCTGCTATTTCTCTATATACTGCTATGATAAAGATAGTATGTGCTTTCATCACTTAAAAATATTAGCACAGAAACCATCATGTGTATTTCAGAAAAATAAGTGTATAAATGAAGGTTACTGATCATTCAGCCAAATCATAACAAAATGGATTTTATCTATAAATGTTGATGTTAACATCTGCATAAATAACCTCCACTACTCAGCGTCTCCAAAAGCAGTAATTCGATGTCTCCAGTCACAAGCCAATGAAACTGAATAAAAAATCCCCATGCCATTTTCATTGTTTCTGTAGAAAATGATTAAACTCAAGCATTAGATCCTCATGCCTCATAAAATAATGGAAAAATTGTGTGTGAGTACCTTTGTGCAGAATGAACCTACTAATTTTACATTATACCTGCTCCACACCTCCCTCCACATGACATACCCCTCCCTCAACAGCCTCCTAGGTTTAGGAAAAGAGTATTTGTGCCAAGTATTGACCTGAAGGTGAATAATAGAATAATAGTCAGTTTCCATCTGGAACTTCGAAAAGAGTGTGAGTATCTTTGTATACTCAAAAACGCAATTGCGTTCTAATACTCTCTTCAAACCAGCCAGAAGCAAGCTTGACCACTGTCTGAAGAATAAATAAATAGAAAATGACAGTGCAGAGATTTTGATAATGGATCTATCCATGAGAGAACTGGAAAAGCATTTTTGATATTTAAGAATTTCAATATGAACAATAGTGGACTAAAATAGTTGCAAAATCACAAGTGAAACCAATCAGGACATCCATTATAACAGCTTTTCTGACAATAAAAACGTATTTCTAGGCCAATCTGTTGTCTTAACTCTGAAAGAACACAATCGACGTGCAGCAGATGTCTTCATAAACGGTACCCACAAGGCCTGAGGGATTTATGACACTTTGTATAAAAGCCACTGACAGAACAGTGGTTTCTCATTACTCCCATAGCTGTGTTAGCCATTTTCTGCCATGACAGCAAACTGAACTCTAGGAAATGAAAGCTCAGAACCCACAGAAGCTGCTCCCTTTACTTCTGTGTCAGTAGACATTCCCTGGGCCACCTTGACTTTGAGATTTTCCACTGCTTGGAAAATGAAGGATGCATTTCCTTCCTTAGTGACTCTGGACATGTGAGTCATACTTGGAAAATTTAGAAAGGAAAGGTATAAAAATCAGATTTTTGAAACCTACCTGACCAAGGAGGAAATAACATTTTTATAGTGTCTTTTCCATATTGATTCACCTAGTCAGGCACAGGAATGTGACAGTCCCCATGAGAGGATGACAGAGCCCTTGAGGGTGGTCTTTGTGTGACTGAAACAAGACAGTTTTCACATTTGCAGAGGGGTCCAGTGTCTGCCAGCACCCAAAGTTTTAGTAATTCAGCCCAGCTATATTTGTGCAATATATGAAGCTTGTTCAAAAACTGAGTCTATACTGGCACTTGTGAATGGCACAGTGGTGTGGTTGATAGCATAATATTGTTTTAGCTACATGTCCCCAGGATAAAGTAGCCCGATAGTAATTGCTTGTAGGCTGGAAATCTGAAGTGACAGATTTCCAAGACACATAGTCCCCAGATGAATCAGATGTCAAGATTCAATTTTTAAACTCAAAAACGATTTCTACTGTATCGACTCATCTTAACCTGTCAAGTTTACAGTGAGAATGCTTTTATTTGACAAAAGATATGACAACCCTTCACACATGAAAAAGAAATTATTCTGATGTGCCAATGGCCCTATGAAACATATGACAACCCTTCACACATGAAAAAAAAAATTATTCTGATGTGCCAATGGCCCTGTGAAACAAGTTACAAAATGAAGATCATATTTTAACTTGACCTTCATAAAACACGTGTTTTATCTCGATAAACTACTGGATTTGATAAAATATTATTTTTAAAATTAGCTAAAAGTTACATTTTGAATATATTTAGTAGTGACAACTAAATAAACTCAGTCTCCCAGAAAGGACTTAGGTTAATCTATTTCATACTTAACATGTGGTAATGTAATTATTAATGTTTCAATTCTAGATCCTGGTGTCACAAAATGTAAAAATATAGTCTTCAAATAAATCTACCAACCAAAACATAGATTCCCATTATTTGATGAAGGAGTGCCCTGCAAAACAGAGCGACACCTTTGATGATTGACGTTTAAGATATGGAAAAAAACAGAAACTATTTACAGGCATCTACTTCGCAAAAGTAAATATTGAGTTAGACATCAATTGTGTTCTCCTCTAACACCAGGATTCAGCGCTTTATGCAAAAATAACCTTGGAGGCTTTTCTGTAAGTGATAAGCTATCCAACAGCTGGCCTACCAGATCATGCCTTGGTTGAAGATCAGAGCGAGGACGTTGCCACTGATGTCGAATTCCGTGTACGAAGGCTAGAGGAGACACGGTGTTCATTGGATTAGCATCTCACATGGTCAAAACTGAAAGGCAAGTGGTTCTGCGTAGGCATGGCTAAGGTTTCAACTACTTTCCTTCAGCAACAATAGCAGAATAATCACTAGGATAAGTAACCAGAGATAAATAAAACAAAGAAAGCACCTTTTTTTTTTTTTTTTTTTTTAACATGAGACTCATTTTAAAATGTTGTCATCCAATGGTATGAAAGAATAGCAAGACAGGCTTTCTTATACACTGCTGGTGAAAGTAAAAACTGTAGCAACCTTTCAGAAAAACAATTTGAGACTACATATTAAAAGCTTTAAAAATCTTATTCTTTTTGACTCTGCAAGAAAACTTCTAGAATCTGTCTTAATAAAATTATCTGAGGTGATGATAAACTTTAACAAGCAATGATGAAACCATCTAAGTGTTGAACATTAGTTAAGTTTATACAGTATATTTATACTATGATATATTGCAATGAATTACAATCATTTTGAAAGAATATTTATGTGCATGAGCAAAAACTGTGTTCTAATGTTAAACAAAAAATATAAAGTCACACATTAATCAACTATATGAAACTACACACACAGACTAGAAAATAATCAGCAAGATAGTCATAGCTTATATGTGGGTGATGGACTATAATTTTCCTTTTCTAAGGTTTCATATTAAAAATTCTTTTAATGAAAATGTGAATTAACTTTAACATAAAATAAATATAGCAAAAGAAATGTAACAAAAGCTTAAGAAGTTATTCAATTCAATGTCCAGTCTTCATGTGTTGGATAATACCATCACGCTCAGGGCAGCAACACTTGGTGGGAAACTGTGATAGAGTGGTCCATCCAAAGACTTCCTAGTGATACATTACGCATCCTAACAGGAGGTTCTAACAATGGAGTTAGTGCTAATTAGCAAGGGCAATAAAACTGGCTCTTATTTAATTTGGGCTAGAGAATCAGAGGAGACTGACCAATTGGTAATAAGGGAATAAGAGAGCAGAAAATATGAAATAAGAATGCCAAGAAGACCGTGGAAAAAGAGACCAAGATACTGCCAGGTCCCTAGCTGCTCAGACCACACGTATCCCCATAACAACTCCCTCCCCAACACACACACACACACACACACACACACACACACACACACACACACACTGACTTAGGAGAGCCTCTGTTCCTCCCAAACCCAAGAACTCAAAAATATACTTGTAAAAAAAATATAATTGGTTCCTGATTTGGAACTCCAACAAAACCATTCCCAGCTTTCAAATGCTTGGGCTCAAGAGTCTCATGAATCCAGGCCTCAACTTCATCACTTTCCTAAAAGGCAGTGTTACTCTTCTATTCAACTGAAACATAAAGACAATCTGCCTTGTAACAGAGCAGCAAGTATGGCATAACAGGAATGGTTAACCCTCAAGGTAAAATAAGATGATACATAATGAAATAATAAAGAGTCCTGTGTATTAAACAGAACAAAGATGACCTGGATAATTGGAGTATCATTTTAGATACTGTTGAAGGACAGCTACAAAGTGTTTCAGTAGTTTGCAGATTTTCTAGAAGGGCAATGTTCACAAGAGGCAAAAAGGTTTGGTGGACAGTTTTTGTTCTGAAATCAGCAATGAAAAAAAAAATGTTTCCTTCATGGAGAATAAATGAATTGCTTCTTTTCTGGAGAACATTAACTCTGGGTCTCTTTCCTTCTAGGGGAGTGCCCTGCTCTGGATGACCTTCAGCACTTTTCCCCTGGTGCCCCGTGTGAATCATAGAACACATCTAAAAAACGCTCATTTGGGTGGCCTGTGCCATCTGTGGCCTTGGAACAGCCTTCCTCTGTGCCAGTTTAAAAATCAAACCTTAAACCTTGGCCTCCTTAGAATGGTGTGATGAGGTAAGCCCACCAAACTACTGAACATGGAAAAAGCTCAAAGTTTTAAATACCTATTTTCTTCACTCTCTCGACCTCCTGAAGGTCATTTGAGATGAAATATTTTATAACTAGTTAACTAGAAAGCATAAAGGACACCCTAGGGTCCCTAGCTTCACGCTGTGTTTGTGGCAGGGGCAGCTGGAGGAACAAACCCCTTGATATATAAATTGGCCTGATGCAGAGAAAGGATATAGGGTGGTCATACTGGACCAAGTGGATTTGTAGAATAGACATTTGACGGGGATTCAAATCTGTATTTTAGACTTCACTCTACCATTTCTTAGCTAGATGAGCTGGGCAGGTCACTTATCTCATTAGGCTTAGTTTCCTGACACGAAAATCAATAAAAATGAACTAGACCAAGGGTCAGCATACTATGGTCCATGTGCCAACTCTGGACTGCCACCTGTTCTAACAAATACATTTTTATTGGAATACAGCTATATTCATTCATTTATATATTGTCTATGACTAGTACTAAATAGAGTTTAGCAGTTAAAACAGGGATGCTATGGCTTGCTAAGGTTAAAATATCTAGACCTTTAGAGCAGAAGTTTGCCAACTTCTGAACTATGTATATAGTATAAAAGTCAGTGCTCATTTTTTTAGAGGTAGGCTTTTTTAAACATGACGTTCTATTTTAAAATTTTAAAGCAATACTTTAATAAATATAAATCAATTTGCAATACATTTTTAAAAACAGTTTCTAAAACAGAAAAAAACTCAAAGGTAAAAGATGGTTATGGAAAAAGGAAAAAATAGATTCTCTTGAACTTTGCGATCATAAAATTATTTGACTGCGATAAGTATAATAAACTCACTAATGGCTGCTTATTGCTGGCGAGACTGTTGGGGGCCAGCACCAGAAAAGCACGTGTGGATTTGGGCTAAAGTCCATCATAGTCAAGGGACTGGAAATGATGTTGTTTAATTTTTGGACCTTTGCTTGTGATGTGCTAGGTCATCCACCCAGAGGGAAGACATGTGGTGCTCACTGGACAAAGAAAAGGCCTGGGAAGATCCCTTTTCTCTCTGCAAGTTTTGTTATTTGAGGCAGATTGCCAACCTGTGGATAACATGAAATGCAATTCAGGATCTTAGAGAGAATTAATTCTGTCACAGCATGAGTTGCCTGACCTTCTCCACATAAATCCCATTTCCCACAGCTGGAATCACTCTGCTTAGAGCTGCAAGCTGGCCTGGGCTGTGGCTCCAGAGCAGTGGCTCTTGGGTGTGGTCCTCAGACAAGAGTCAGCTGCATCACCTGGGAACTTGTTAGAAAAGCACAGTCTCGGGCCTCGCCCCAGATCTACTGAATAAGAAATGCTGTTTTCACAGGTCCTCAGGGGATTCTGATGCATGCTCAAATTTCAGAACCACTGATCTAAGACACACTATAGCCTCATCTGCTAGGATGATTGAGCACTTGAGGCTTTGTACTTCAACCATAGCTGAGAGTAGGATCCTGTTAACTGCAGACAGATCCTGTCCACATATTCAAAGGGCACTTAAAATACAGTCTGTATTGTCCCTGTTTCCATGTTCTCTACTCCTCATGGGATGGTGATGATTTCTTACTTACTCTTTATCATGATACCTTCCCGAACTGATATATAATATCTCCATGTTCCCAGCTAGAGAATAGTTGATCTTCTAATTCTGTATCCCATCTCATTTGCTAACTCCATTCTACTACAGGTATGTGTAAGGCTAGGAACATACCTGTAGTAGTTTTGAGTTCCAAAAGCCATAGATTTGATGCATGAATTATTCAAGTTTTAGCAGAGGTTGTAAAATTTCTAGAGTCAAGCATTACAGTGAAAATTCAACATGATAGAAATTTGGTTGATAGCTTTGAAGGTGATGAGACTCGGGTTTCAGGCCTAACTCTACCCCTAACCAGCAATGTGTCTTTGAGCAATTATTTAACATCCTCTAGCCTCAGTTTACTGCAAAGTAGGAACAATAATACCAGCTCACAGCATTGCTGGTATGGTCACATGGAATAACATATGTATTTTGTAGATTTTCTCACACAAAATAAGCAGTACGTTGAGATGTAATATAATACAATATAATATGATTGGGAATCCACTCAGGTAGTCAGTCAATTACATGCCTCTTATTTACCGATAATCTTAAGCACCCTTCATCAGACTTTAAGCACACTTCCCATCGCCATTTATGTAAACTGAACAATGATTACCTTAAAAATACAATTGTGAACATCATGCTGAGTTTATTGAACATTCCTTTACCCCATCATGCCCTGAATCTAATTCTATTTCTTCCTGGATATTCTTCACTTGCTTTGTTGGTAAATAGCAAGAATGGTGTCAATGAAAACTGAAGTGAAGATAAAGACATTCTGCATTGAACTGTTACAGAAAACTCAAAGTGTTTACAAGAGGCCGTACTTTGTATTAAATTAGAGCAGTTAAAATCCTTCCTAGGGACAAATTATTCTACTCCCCATGAACTCTTTTGAAACACTGAGACCTATGCTCAGAGAAGCATGGGAGATACTAACTTACATTACATTAACTTACATTGGTCTAATAATCTGCTCCAAGCCAGTAATTTTCCCACCTTAGTTAATCTTCATAGGTTTGTTGTGATAACACTGTGACCATAAATTTATGACTTGAAAAATATTCACAATCCCTTTTAACCCAACTTACTTTGATAAAGCCAGTATATAATTCAGTACATTTAACATAACATTTTGGTCCAGAAGTATACTTCATTGTCCTTATTATTCTCTCACTACGTAAACTTAGGAACCTCATTTCAACACACAGGTGCAATTTTTCACATGTTAAAAACAAGCATTACAGTTGACTGTGTCAAAAGCCACCCAACTTTAGCATTCTATAGATCTCTGAATCTAATGGTAAAATCTGCAGAGTTTCTACTGAGGCTGTTGTAATAAAAGTGAATAGGCTTTTTTAAAGGCCCTTTCTGTGACTGGGCAATTCAACTCAGAGAAATTTATTGTAAGAAAATAATGTGTGCACTATGATTTACCTATGAAGGCATTTATTTACATGAATATAATTAAATGTCATCAAAACACTTATTATCTTAAGAAAAATTAGACAAAGTTCAACTCAAAGTAAATTAAAAAATAATTAGATTAATTATACTACGTTCACATGCAGAATAGTATACAACCATTTAAAAGGCATGTTATAAAATAACAGTTAATAGTATTGGGAAATGGTCACTGGTAGGTAAAACAAATAAAAGCAGGTAACCAACCTATCTACCTATCTGTGTACATGCATACATACGCAAATGTATATATGTGTGTATTTATATAAATCTATGTTACTATATATAACTATGTGGCACTTGTTATCTAAGACTTTGATTCAACAATTCAAATAATCTCAGTGGCAGAGATAACCTATGATTTTTACTTTTCTGTTAGCTTTGTTGTATTTTCCAAATTTTTTACAACAAACTGCCATTATTTTTGGAATTCAGAAGAAAAAACACATGCTGTGTGTGTGTGTGTGTGTGTGTGTGTGTGTGTGTGTGTGTGTGCATAGTAGAAAGGACCACGTTTTTCTCTTTTATTTCTCACAGAATTCTCAAGTATCTCCTCTGCCCATCTCAGGTTCTCCTGCCCTATATGACAGGTACTTTCTGAAACCATATTGTTGATTGGTAGGTCTAGGAGAATAGCAGAGAAACATTTTTATCAGCCTTTTCTGCTCTAATACACCCTCATTTTAGTGGGTTTTTTCTCTTTTTTTTCTTTTTGAGATGGAGTCTCACTCTGTCGCCTAGGCTGGGGTACAGTGGTGTGATCTCGGCTCACTGCAACCTCCGTCTCCCAGGTTCAAGAGATTCTCCTGCCTCAGCCTCCCGAGTAGCTGGGACTACAGGCACATGCCACCACACCCGGCTAATTTTTTGTATTTTTAGTAGAGATGGGGTTTCACCGTGTTAGTCAGGATGGTCTCGATCTCCTGATCTCATGATCTGCCTGCCTCAGCCTCCCAAAGCATTGGGATTACAGGCGTAAGCCACTGTGTCCGGCCAGTTTTTTTAATTTATGGCTGCATTGCCCATACTGTCTAGCTCTGGGCCCCTGTCTTACATTTGTCCCTCCACAAGGGACTCCTTTCATCTCTTGAAATCCTGACCATCCTTCAAGACTTAGTTCAAATGTCTCCTCCTCCATGTCTGCATTTCTACTAATGTACCTCTCACTCTCTCTCTTCCAAAGGGCCATACAATTGAGTTCTCCTATGGCATTTACATTTTATGTTCCTTATCAATATTGGTAGCTTTGAAGAGAAGAGTGGTGAAGAGTATGAGGAACTGGAGAACGAATAACCCAACTGTAGATGGCCATGGTTTCTCAACTCTAGCCAATTTCTCCCTAGTGGGAGTATGAACTGAATGTTGCCGGTCCTTTCAAGAAATACAAGAAATCCATGTGTTTTTATGTAAAACTTCTCATTTTAAAATATTAGCTCATAAAAAAATGAAACAAAAATAACCACCACCACTGGCATACCAAACAAAAATATTCTTTAGCTGAATCTACCCTGCCGGACAAATGTGCAACCTCTCCGTAAGTCTACATCTTCTACAACCCTGTATTCTGTTATCACCTAGCACAGAGTTTGCTCATAATGGCTTGCACCTAGTAGGCCCTCATCAGTGTAAGCTATCCATTTGATAAGTCAACGACAATGGGATCTACATCAAAGATTCATCATCCATCATTAATGTTTTAAAACTTGTTTTGATTCTCACAGAGCTTTTTTGAGCCTTCCGAAGGTAACGTGGGAGAAAATTCTTTATGACCTAAAACAGGAACTTGTCTTTTTTCCTGTACTTTGTACTAACCCAGGAGCACTGTCAGCACTCAATAAATAATAAATTACAGTCATTTAATTACAGCTTTTATGCATCCAGGTCATGTTATATTGACTTCATATTTGCAGTCAGATTTTCTGCCAGAAGAAAGCAGCCAAGGGATAAAAGGTAAGCACAAGCCAAGGAACGGTCTAAGGAAGAAATGGCCATTTTTATGTCTGCCTCAGAGGAGCTGAATCAGGCAAGGAAATTAGAAATGAAACAAAGCCAGCTGAATACCTCATAGCAAAGAATGAGAAAGCAACACAAGAGCATCCTGGATCTATAGCCGTTACCTCACTGTCGTTCACTGAAGAGCATTACCTAACTGCTTTTGGCCAGTCCAAGGAGGCACTTTCAATGAGGGTGATAGAGATGACCTCATAAAAGGTACCATCTCAAAGTCAGACAGTCAGACAGAAGATCTAGCCTGAAATCTTGAAAACAGTCCTAAATGTGGGACTTATCTAGAGACTAGAGGGCATGAGATAAAACAGATAGAAGATCAGCTATAAAGGATATTGCCTCACAGGTGAGGGGAGAAGCATGACTGGCTCAAGAACTCAAAAACGTTACAAACACCGAGACTCTGTAGGCACATGCTTCAAAGGAGGCAGAGTTCCGCCAATAGAGAGTGCTGCCTTGATGGTGCTAAGATGCGAGGCTCAACGTTCAAACAGCTAGCCAACACGCGGTGCCTGCGATGTGACTTGTACAGCTCAAGTAACAGATGTCAGGGCCTCTATTTTCATAGAGTATTAATTCTAACACAGGGAGATAGACCATAAATACATTTTACAAGAGTAATGTCAAATAGTTGCACAGCTTATGAAGAAAACAAAACAGTGTGTTGAAATAAAGAGTGCCTGATTAGCTATGTTAGAATAGGTGGTCAGAGAAGCTCTAAGTAGGTAACAGAATGGCTGAATTTAATGACAAGAAGAAATGAGCTATTCCAAGTTCTAGGGCAACAGCACCCCTTGAGGGAGAAACAGCAAGTGCAAATGTAAGGGGCATCTTGTGTTTGAGCATAAAAAGCAGCCCATTAGCTGGGCACCGTGGCTCACGCCTGTAATCCCAGCACTTTGGGAGGCCTAGGTGGGCAGATCACCTGACGTCGGGAGTTCGAGACCAGCCTGGCCAACATGGTGAAACTGCATCTCTATTAAAAATATAAAATTAGCTGGGCGTGGTGGTGCATGCCTGTAATTCCAGCTACTGGGGAGGCTGAGGCAGGAGAATCTCTTGAACCTGGGAGGCGGAGGTTGTGGCGAACCAAGATTGCGCCATTGCACTCCAGTCTGGGTAACAAGAGCAAAACTCTGTCTCAAAAAAAAAAAAGAAGCTCATGTTTGTGAACTTTACAAAGCAAGAGCAAAAGTGGTAGCAAATGACTTGAGAGAGAAAGAAAAGAAGCAGATCATCCAGGGTACTGAAGGCCTAGAAATGGATTTAGAAGTCATTCTAAGTACTTGGTAAGCCACTGGAAGATTTTAAGCAAATGAGTACTACCAATCCCCAGGTCATATTTCCTGGAATGACTGAAGCCAGGTTGACTGCAAAGGAGGACAGTGGAAGCCATACGATCTGCTAGTCACAGAGTGATGAGTGTGCTGTTGACCTCAGACTTTGCTGGGGGACCTGAGGTTGAGCATAGAGAGAAAGCTGGTGATGGAGTTAGCATCAGTGTGGTTCTGAGAAATTGGAGCCGTTGTTTCAGGAAAAGAAGCCACCCCTGCCAGAATTTAGCTCCACAACGTGCCAGATGCATGACAGCAAATTAGGCCTTCCTTGAACTTTCTGTAATCTCTTGTTTGTGTCTCTGTCAAGCTCTTATTAGACTGTGAACTTTGTGAAGCAAGTACCATATTTACCAAATCCTTTTATCCTGCCACTGCAACTGCTGCACAGTGACTGGCACATGATAATATCCAGGAGTTTAGTAGAATTCAAAGGCATAAATAGAATATGCAGTTGATATTAGCCATCCTTCCCTGCTTCTAGATAGGAAGAATGGGCTACAGGGCCAAGATTTACTGAGTTCAACATTTTAACTAACAAGTTGAGGTCCATTGCTTTTGCTATCTTGTGCTAATTTTACGAGAATATTGTAAATTATGATACACAAGACTGACCTTCTCTGTACTATAAATGTACTCATTAGTCTTCATTTATTGACATCTAAAAAGATGATCCCACCTAGTAAACTCTATGATGCCTTTCCCTTATATAGTGTGTGTAAACGATGAATCACAAAGGAAAAATCTTATAAGAACAAAATTAACATCATACTTACGTATCCGTATTCCAAGTCCCAGCACCAGCAATAATTGCAAAACCTCACAAAACATGCTCTAAGAAAGTCCCCAATGAGGATTGTGACGTAGGTAGTCAGAACATCAGAGACCGTCAGCCGCACAAACTCCTGTTGAAATATTATCTCTATTAAAACACACAGTTCGGTCTTCAAATGGTCCTAGTGTTGGCATTAAATCTGTCATGTTTCTAAAGAAGTATTGGCTTGAAGACTACAATTAATGGCAAAAGAAGAAAATGACTAGGCATTTCAAGAAAATAAAAAATATTTCACTCCTATTTTATCACTTTAAAAATAATTATTTCCCATTTACTAAATCAAAAGTTTTCTTTTTACTGAGCAATTTTATAAGCATGATACAAGAACCAAAAACAGATAGGAAAATATTGACCACACAGCAGCTTAAAATTCTATGTGGTGAATGGCACTATTCACAGACTTGAAAGACAAATGTGGAAAAAGTACTTGCAACATATATGATAGAGGATGAGTACTGCTAACACGTTAAAAACTTTTACAAATCAGTATGAATATAGGCGGACAATCCAATGAAGAAAGAAAACAGCAAAAGGCACAAATTAAAAATTCACAGAAGAACATATACCAACAGTCCATTAAAACCGAAAAATACCTAAACCTCACTACTAAAAATGCCAATGAAAAGAATGAGTTGTTGCCTCACAGAGTGATAAATGTAAAATCTATGTTTCTTCATATTGGTAAGTGTAGTGAAATAGCATGAGCATAAACTGACGGAGAAGTTACACTGGGCACAACGTTGGGGAAAAATGTATTAAAATCCACCACATTTTAAAATGTTTGGCGCTTGATCAAGAAAACTACTTTTAGAAATGCCTGTGATAGCAGTGTTCACACACGTGCACAAATCTGTACATACAATCATGAAAGTACTGCTTCTTCCAGATTGAAAATGGAAAAATTCAAATATGCTTGGGAGATTTATTAAATAAAACAAATTAAATGTCCACACAATGGTATATTATATTGTAAGCCCTTAAAACAAAATGCTATCGTGGTGCTGGATGACTAACTATGTGACTACATTAGAAACCATTGAATTGTGTATTTTTAAAAAAATGTTTAGTGTATTTTTCTTATTTTAAGTTCCGGGGTACATGTGCAGGTTTGTTACATAGGTAAATGTATGCCACGGTGGTTTGCTGCACTTATCAACCCATCACCTAAGTATTAAGCCCTGGATGCATTAGCTATTATTCCTGATGCTCTTCCTTCCCCCTCACCCCCCACCAGGCCCCGGTGTGTGTTGTTCCCCTCCCAATGCCCATGTGTTTTCATTCTTCAGCTCCCACATATGAGTGAGAACATGTGGTGTTTGGTTTTCTGTTTCTGTGTTAGTTTGCTGAGTATAATGGCTTTCACCTCCATCCATGTCTCTGCAAAGTACATGATTGCATTCCTTTTTATGGCTGCATAGTATTCTATAGTGTACATATGGCACATTTTCTTTGTCCAATCTATCATTAATAGGCATTTGGGATGATTCCATGTCTCTACTATTGTGAATAGTGCTGCAATGAACATATGTGGGCATGTATTTTTATAACAGAATGATTTATGTTTCTTTGGGTATATACCCAGTAATGGGATTGCTGGGTCAAATGGTATTTCTGGTTGTAGGTCTTTAAGAAATTAACACCGCTTTAGTTGTGTCCCAGAGATTCTGGTACATTGTCTCTTTATTCTTATTAGTTTCAAAGAACATCTTGATTTCTGCCTCAATTCCATTATTTACTCAGGAGTCGTTCAGGAGCAAATTGTTCAATTTCCATGTAGTTATGTGGTTTTGAGTGAATTTCTTAATTTTGATTTCCAATCTAATTGTCCTGTGGTCTGAGAGACTGTTTATTATGATTTCAGTTCTTTTGCATTTGCTGAGGAGTGTTTTACTTCCAATTATATGATCAATTTTAGAGTAAGTACCATGTAGTGCCAAGAAGACTATATATTCTGTTGTTTTTGGGTGGAGAGTTCTGTAAATATCCATTAGGTCCACTTGATACAGAGCTGAGTTCAAGTCCTAAATATCTTCATTAATTTTCAAATTTTGTATTTTAAATGGGTGAACTGTATTGTGTGTAATTTATATCTCAACAAATCTGTTTTAAAGGTACAAAAATTGTTATGCTCTAATAGGAAATATGTTTTTAAAAAATTTCCAAAACAGTATATGTGGTCTGACCTCATTTGTTAACAAAGACCCTATATACATATTATGTATGTATGTATTTAATAACATGTATATGAAAAGAAAAGATTTGGAAAATTAGAAACTGGTTATCTCAGTTGGCTTCAAATTCAAGTGGGCTTAAATTTATGTCCAAAGTTTGTGTGCTACGAGTTAGAGGGGAAGTTCACTATTTTCTCATATGTCAATAGGCAATAAATATAAAAATAGACATACAATTATAAATTTTCATGATAGCTTGCATTTGTTCTTCCCTTTCTGTTCCTTCTCAGTAATTCATGCCCTAAAGCTGAAGACACTGAACATCTAACAGGACATATTTTGCTAGAAATACTAATGCTATTTCATAATATGAGAAGTCTTTTGGTGTTTATTTCCAGCTACCTATATAGACTCCCCTCTAAAGTGACTAGTGAGTAAAAATTATCTCTTAAAGAATCATTTAACTATGAGTTGTTAGGTTGAGTTCTAGCTTCACACCTCAGAACAGTGTTTCCTAAATCCTGTGCTGTCATGTACAATCTTCACAATCCTTGCCATATCCAAGTACCATGTGAAATATTATTTATCTAATATTTCTTTTAACTTTAATATAGTTTATTTTATAAGGTAATTGTTACAATTATAAATCGAAGATGTATATATCATCTGTCATAAATATGTTAGCTATAAATAAATATGATGAAAATAAAAACTTATGTTGAAACTTAAATATATAAACATAAGACACAGCCTCAGCTTTGGTTCCCCCTTTTCCCTGTGAAAAGGGTTTTTAAGCAGTAGCACATTTTGGGAAGTGATAGCAGAGAACAGGAGAGGGGAGTGGGAAGAATAAGACAGTGAAGGAAAGAAAGTCTCTCCACCAAGGTGTGTTACAAGCTGTCACTACTAAGATAAGTGGATCTTAATCCTTCTGGGGATCCACCTAGTAGACACATAGAATAAGCCTCAGAATTGTCCACTCAGGAGATGGAAGAGGGATGTACTTATCCACCAGCTCACATTTCCCATTCGTCAAGGATGGCCCCATAGAGTATTAATGTTCCACGTGGTGACTGCAGAGAACACTGGGGTAAAGGTAAGAATATGTGTGCAGAACAGTCCAGATGCTGTTACGTAACAGTACATGCAGTTGTTTGCTGCAACAACTGGAGTAGAAAAGTGGAGCAAGAGAGTATAAGGTTTCTGCATAATCTGAAAGCTTCTGCACAACCTGACGCCTGTCTAGTGATCCATATTCTTTTTGCATTTCTCTTCCCTCTTCTGTGTTTATCTTTGTCTTCTCCGGTCCAGCCCCACTGGCCTTCTTCAGGACCCAGACTTCACACTCCTCCAGGCCACAGGGTCTTTGCATATGGTCTCACTCTACATATGGTCTCAATCACACTTGCTAGACCTCTTTCTTGACTCAGTTTATGTAAGCAACTATGCGTCCTTACAACATATTTAGGAAAGTCTCCCTCAACTCCCTGACAAGGGTAAGCTCCCTATAAAAGGTTCCAAAGGTCCATGTATTTCATTTTTGTAGTACTTGTTACCATTGTAAATTTACAATTTTTGGTCTATATTTGTTCCCCAGTGTATCTCTAGTACTTAGCACAACGCCTGGCAATTACCATGCCCTCAAAAAATACAAAATGAATGAATAATTGATAGCATTCCTGTGGTTACTTTTGGACATAATTTTTTTCCTCTTTCCTACTCTTTGTCTCCTTTCCTTTCCTGAGGCAGTTCTTTGCATTTATTTACTTATTTATTTAGAGACGGGGATCTTGCTATCTTGCCCAGGCTGACCTGGAACTCCTGGGCTCAAGCAATCATCTTGTCTCAGCCACCTAAGTACCTTGAACTACAGACACATGCCTACATGCCCACCCTTTCCAGGCAATGTTTAGCTCGGATTCTAGTAACTAGCATCAATTAGAGGAAGGCTATGAGGGATATTTTTAGGTTTCTACTGCCAGGTCTAGAAGACTTCCTCAGGTAAGAAAATATTTCAGAGTGGTTTGGAAGTCCTCCACATCCTCTTAAGCACCCTCTATCCCAAAGGTTGAAATTCAATTTCTTCCCAAGAAGTGACTTAACGTTCACATAAAATATCTGAAGAGGATTCAAACATTGTATTAAAAATGTTAAATGTTTATTCATATAACATAGGAAAAATATATTTTAAAAGAAAGGGAATTCAAAAAATGGTAGCCCAGGCCATCTCAAGGACATCATCCATTCCTAGTTCCTCCTGTGCTTGTCAGGATGGGGAACACAGCCCCCACACAGGTCTCCTGCTAAACCCACACTCTGCACCTAAAAACTTTGCACACACAACATTGCTTAAAATGCCTTGGAAGCTTTGACCAGCAAAGCTAAAGGAATCATTTATTAATAGGTAAAGGGAAAACACCAGGCAAGGAACATCATAAAGGGCCACCAAATACAGATGTTGCAAGGCAGGCATTAGGAGAGTGTGTCGATGCTAACTGGGGGACAATTTAGCACTGTGAACAAAGACACAAACTCTAAGCAGATTATGCAGGCTAAATTGGGGCTCCGGTCATTGACGTTCTCAGAGGTCTTGAGTACATTACCTTCCTAAGTCTCAGTCTCCTCATTTATAAAATGGGAATAATAATATAACGTATCTCAGAATGAAACATAAAAATTTGAGGAGAAAATACTTGGCACATTAGCCATCGTTGTGGTTATCTTGCTTTCTCCCCTTCACCAAAGTGCAGACCTCAGGATATAGCTTCAAGGAGGAATGGCTCTGCAGCTCAACGAATCCAGTAGGAATGAAACTAAAGGACTGCTTGAAAATCTGCAGAAGTAAAGGAGCAGTCACATTATCCTATATTCAAAACAATAAGAGCTTTGAGTCTCATAACATCCTTGGAGATAGTCAAAGCAGAGGGCATCCATGGAGAAGAGGAAACATCTGTGATGCTCTCACAGAACAATGAATGAGGGTGCATATCTAACTTTACATGCAAACAAGCTGCCTTTTACTATTTCTTCTGGAGGCGTATTTTTTAAGCAATTAAAGAATAGAAATTTTCCAGATGCACAGATACAGATATTGATCTCTTAAAGGCGAGAGCTTTCCAGCACTCAGATCTGTTATGTCCTATATGTTCTCTTTGTTCCCAGAGATTCTATCTGCCTAGTCAACATTCCAGTCAGAACAACCCCTTTTCCCTTGGCCCACTTATTCAGACGTTAATGGCTCCTTGGAGAAAGGAAGGTGAAAGAGAAGGGAGAAATCCAACTACAAATGGCAGTAAGGAAAGATGACGAAGCAAGGAAAACCACTTCAGACAGGATTAAAACAAAACAAAACAAAAAGACAAGACAAGCAGCATAATCCATGGGCTTCCAAGGTGGAAAATTAAGTAAATGGTATTTCTTTTCTTTGAAGTCAGTATGTGTGGGACTATTGCAGAACCATGTGCATCCGAAACTTTCTCCTAGATGGCTTTCACATTCCTATCTAATTAATGCATTCCTCCACTCCAGAAATGGCCAGCCCAGATCCTACTCTTTACAACTAATTCTATTAATCCTGTTCAACTGGTGTTTTTACCTGTTAAAGGGCAGGTTTCTTAACTTTCAGGCCCTACTGTGTTCCAGGATATGCAGAAGAGAATGTCTCAAATTCCTTCAGTTTCTGAAAACTGTATTTTCTATGTTTTCCTTTCTTGAATCGTGTGCTCAAGATTTAGGGAGCAGCTTAGTTGTGATAAAACAGATTCGTGTTAAGCACCATCACCAGATTTACTCCAAAGAGCCTTGGAACATGGAGACCCAAGTACCATTGTGAACTCATTTCTTACTGTTGCTGTGACAAATTGCCATAAATGTAGTGGCTTAAATCAACACAAATTTTCCTTCTTACAGTTCTGGAAATCAGAAGTCTAAAATCAAAGTGCAGACATGGGGAGAGAATCTGTTTTCTTTTTCAGTTTCTGAGGCCACCTGTATTCCTTGCCTCTTGATCTCCTTCCTCCATCTTTAAAGCACATCACTCCAACCTCTGGTTTTGCTGTCACATCTCAATTTTCTGACTTTTTCCCTTTGTCTCCTGCTTATAAAGATCCTTATGATTTCATTAAGCCCACTCACATATCCACAATAATTCTTTCAACCTGAGATCTTTGACTTAATTTTATCTGCAAAGTCTATTTTACCATGTAACATATTTATTGTTTCAGGAATTAGAATGTGGACAGCTTTTGAGGGTCATTATTCTGTCTACCACAACCTGAATCACAAGCACTCCTCTAGTAAGTGGAGACAACTTTCATTTGTTACTTCATATGTAATATGTTCCTGTAAGCTGTATGAAATGAGCATGTCTGGAAATCAAATTAATATCATATAACATGAATGGGAGAGATTTATCTGGTTCCTGAAAGCTTAATGAATAAAGTAAAATAGAATTCTCAATTATATCATAATTTCTGTACTCAATTATTAATGATACATGTCTAGCACAATACACATTTACCTTATTTTTTTCTTTCACAGTTGGAATCATAATTGATTGGCCTAAGTTTGATGAGCACCTGATTGAGATTAAAGATATGATTCACATATTTGTTTGAATTAAATGAATTTTATAAGACTAATGCTAGTCCTTCAATTTTCATGTTATCTTACAAAAAAAAAAGAGTAAAAAATTATTCAAATAATTTCACAAAGACCAAATCACTGTTAAACTCAACTGTTGCACAAAAGCTGTTCTCAATGATAATCTGAAGCCCCAAAATCCATTTATGGAATACACATTAGGAATATCAATTCTAACTAAGTAAAATAATAAAAGCTTTTCAAAATATAAATTGGATTTGTATAAAAATAAGAGATCTGAAGTGGATTTTTCTTGAGTTTTCTTTTTTTTTATTTGTCTTGCCTTGGTTTCCCTTAAGTGATAGAAAGCCAGATGAAACAATATTTCTTTTCTCCGGGAAAGTATGGCTAGTCTTCAACTGGGGTTATTTACAAAATCATCATTAAAATAAATAACTTAAAATCGTATTTTATTTTTCTTAAGGGAAAATTATTTAACAAAAATGGACATTATTTAAATTTCTTAGTATGGGCTCCATCCCCCTGAGATGCAGATCAGCAATCACTCTTTGCAATTAGCCCAGGATGGATGGTCTATGTTGTGGGTCCAAGCTGGGGGTTCCCTGTCTGGTGACAAGCAGTGGGGGGAGTAGGTAGAACCTGTGAGAGACAGTCTGGCCTCCTCTCCTGAAGTCAACTGCAGTTTGTTGGATGTATGGATGAGGTACTTAGGGTCTTCGCTCCTTTGTTAGTCCAAGGGTAGCAAGGGTAGTTCTACTGCAGAGGTAGTGACAGAGAGGCTTTCAGTTGTCCCTGGGAATACTGTCCAGAGTGTTACAGAGCTGCTACTTGCTCAATAGCTCTGGCAGAGGGTAGCTGGAGGCCTAGGCCTGGAGGACCTGTCCAGTGAGAAGATATGGGAATGGGCGCCCTTGTAAAAGTCTGGCCACTTTTTCATAGGGTGGCTGCACTACATTGGGAGCCTGCATCAGTCCCTAGTCACCTTAGATGTTTTATTCCCTGGAGGTATCAACAGTGAAGGCTGTGAAACAGCAAAGATGGCAGGCTGCCCCTCCCTCTGGGACTTCCATCCCAGAAATGTACAGACCTGTTGCTGGCCCAAACACACCTACAGGAGGTGGCTGGAGACCCCGGTTAGGAGGTCCTACCCAGTGAGGAGGAACAGGATTAGAGACCCACTTGAAAAAGCAGTCTGGCCACATTTTCATAAAGCAGATATGCTGTGCTCAGGGTCTGCTCTAGCCCCTGGTCAGCTTGGACTCTGAAGTCTGAAGGCTGGAAAGGCTAAGTCTACCAAACAGCAAAGATGATGGCCCACCCCTTCTCCCAGGAGCTCTGTCTCAGGGAGGTTCAACACTGCTACCAGTGACTGGCTGGAGTTCCAAGCCAGTGGGTTTCATTCTGTGAGGTGCTGTGAAGTGGGGCCTGCAGACTGTCACTGGATTCAGCCCCTTTCCTAAGGGGTGTTCTTGGGGGTTTAACCTCCTGTTCTGCCAGAGGTGCAGCTCCTTTTGATGGAAAGCCTGAAAAGGAAAATCCCAGGTATCTAAGGCTCCCGGGTCTCTGCATGTGCTTAAGTGGCTGCTCTGCTGAGACTTTACAAAGCTCTGGTGTCAGACGAAGGCCCTGGTGGAGTAGGTTCATGAGGGAATCTCCTGACCCAAGGGTTGCCAAGTTCCATGGGAGAAGCATGGGTTCCCAGGGTCGTGCATTCACTCACAGCTTCCTTAGGCAGAGGAAGGTCCCCTGGCTTCATGTCACTAAGAGGTGGGCTGTCATTCTGCCTTGCTTTTCTCTGCTCTCCACGGGTCAAGTTGTTTCCTTGATTAGATCCCATGCACGTACCTGGACGTTTCAGTTGAAGGTGCTGTATTTACTCCCCCTTCTATTCCTCTCCTTGAGAGCCACTCACACTAGCTGCTTCTAGTTGGCTGTCTTGGCCACTCCCTAAGACTCTATTTTTGTTTGTTTTGTTTTATTTTGTTTTACAGCAAGCAAATAATACTAAATAGAGTTCCATTTAAATATTTGCTTTGGCCTGTATCGAAATCGAGTGCTTTATTGTAACACAGATAGTAAACATCTCTTTGCACACTTTACAACTATCCTTCCTTTATATGCAACTGTAAACGGGGCATACAAATAGTATTTACCTCAAGGGACAGATTCGCAAATAGCATGAGATTATATACATGAAATTCAGAGCCAGCACATGGTCAATATTAAACAAATCTCAACTATTTTTACTAAAAAGCAATTTTTAGAAAGCTACTCTTATGGAAGAAATATTGACTCTGCTCTTTTTTTAATCTACTAATTGCAAACATTTCTGTTCATGGCATTACCTGTCCCACCATCGTTTCCCAGCAGGGTCCTCGAGGTACATCTGCAGGATGAACAAAAAAGGGTGGTCCAGTGCTGTTTTCAGAGAATGATGCATTGTAGGCCTTGATCATATTGGCTTCCCAAAGGGTAATATTGGCCTTAACTAACTTCTCCTCTTCAATCTAGAAAGCAAAGAGAAAGAAAAATGAAGACAACAGAGATTTCAAAGGCATTTCTGGCAAACTTGAAACTGAGAATTGAACAGCAAGCACTCTTATGGCAAGGGCAATCCAGAAACAAGGCTTACCTTGTTGTTAATCTCATCCATTAATGCAAGAATAAATACATACAAATTGCCTAAAAGGAGAGCAAAAATGCGTCCCAGTAGCCATTTCAAAGCAATGAGAGGATGGTAGTCTTCTAGTTCAGCAAACAAGTCAAACAATGTTGGACAGAACATCCCTAAGAGGGACATAACCATGTTCATCTACAAGGAAACACAAGGGAGAAACTAGGTTAATAGTGTTTAAAAGTTATTATTGCTTTTTGCCAGAATTTCGGAAGATTCTGAGCTACGCTTCTTTGATCTTGTTTAAGACTAAAAAAGATTATTTTATGCATGTTTAGAATTTGATCTCAGTAAAAGACAAGGACAATATTCAACTCACATTTTCAAGATAGACATGTGTCTGAGTGTGTGTATGTGCCAATAGTAATAGTCTGTTTCCTGGTATAATGAGGGCAGCAATTTGTATCAATCTCTACACAGAGAACACATATTGTTCTAAGTGGTAACTGATTCTGATATGGTGACGCACTTCACAAAAAGATTTCCAAAGAAGTGGAAAATGATCTGCTTGAGGAGGAGGCTCAAACTGAAAATTCTAATCTGACAATCATCAGTATATGGGCTAGTTTAATCAGTTAGAATGGATTAATTCCCTGAGATGGGCTCAGGCCTAAATACTGAATTTTGGCAAATGTATACTTTTAAGGCCAAAGAAAACCCCACATAAAATGAGTTTTATTAAAGGAAACAGAAGACATTCAGAGAAACAAACGGAGAACACATGACAATGCTATGGAAGCCAAGGTAGAAAAGTTTTCAAAAGTGAAAGAATGAGCTATAATTCCAGAGACAAGAGAATAATGCAGGGGTGGGGAGAGGAGGGAGAGAGAGAGAAGAAGGAATAGAAACATGAAAGTAAGAAACATGTGCTTCTTATTTCCTGGATGTTTGGCAGCCTTATGGTGATATTATTTGGAAGTCAATAAAAAGAATCCAAAACATACACTAATTTTTTAATGGGGAAAAACAGATATAGGTGACTCTAGTGACTGTCTCCTTTTTCAAATACCTGGCTCAAATTGTCACCACTAAACATTTCCTATTTTCTCCTGTGGACTTCATGGTGTGAGCAATATAATAACTACTGGACTATATTTAGAAAATGATTGTTATTAGATTTTTGTCATTTTAATTAAAATATTATATAAGTATGACCAATGGGATCCAAATCTCAGCATGACATAATACAAAATCAGCATGCTATAATTTTAGACTAATGTAAAGAAAATTTGGCAGATCCTGTGCAATCTTATGCAAGGTAAATTTTAATTTGGTTTCATCAAATTTGTAAAGTTACTCATGAATCTCCATTATTACCTTCATTGGCCCCCAAAACTCATAGGGTCCCTAAAATGGATGTTAAAGAGGTTCTTACAAAATATAGTTCTTTTAATGATAATCAACTACCCATCCTTTAATATAGTTCATTTATACAAAAACATAATCAATATAAATAATGCACCAAAGCTGCATGATAATGTTTCCTCCATGTACTATTATAATTATGAGACAATTTAGAAAGCAAATTTAATAAATGCTTTGCGGTATTCCTCCATTTTTCATTTTAAATAAACAAACTCCCTCTGCTGAATGACTTATATTTTATAAGTTTTCATGAAATGACTGTATATTAAAGTCTTTAAAATATCTAGTCCCATCTCTATTGGTACCATTTCTGAAATACCTAGAATGTTATTTGGAACCTGTTTTTGTAAGCAGATTATATCATTTGCTGTCCAAGACTTTTTAGGAAATTCTATGCTTATAAAGACATATTTTAATTCTTTTGATCTATATAGTTCTACAAAAGCTTCAGTGTGGGAAGTCTACACTTCCCACAGCCTAAATCTGCACACACTTTGAAAATGCCCAAGCTCAAAATGATGTCACATTATACACATAAACATTTTATGAAAGGGAAGAGGCTCTAGCAACAACTCATGACCAGTGATTTTCTAATTCTAAATGATCTACCTCTAACCTCTTTTCTCTGCTCTACTAAGTGGACAGATACTCTGAAGGCAAATTACAATCATAATGTTTAATTCCTGGAAAAGAACTGGCCTTCCTCATTTGAATAGCATTTAGAGGGAGAGGAAGTGAAGTATAGGCAGGAGGAAATAGAGATGGAGATGCTGTAGTTAGGCTTCTACAGAAAAACAGAGGGAAGCCCAGACATGCCCAAAGGTGGAGAAGCAATCTGTGTGTTTCCAGTGAGATCAACACAGGAATAAGTGGCTTTATCACGGCTACTTCAAAAAATTCAGGCAACAATTTGATCTTTTACTGACAGATGAAGGATTTGGAGAAAACAACAAGAAAGAGCCTTGGACTCGAAGTCAAGACTCCTAGGTTCTCATCCTAACTCTTCTCCTAACTCTGTGACCATAAACATATCACACAATCTCTTGAGATTCAGGATTCCCATCTGTAAACATAATGATTGGACTATGTGTTTTTAAATATCTTTTCTGACTCTAATTTTCCATCATGTCACAAAATGAAAAACAGACAGTACAGATTTAGAAATAAGACTAGAAGAGAATGGAAAATGAGCAACATGATTGGTTAACTGTCAGGGCAGGATGGAGGATAGGTAAAGAGTGGCCTTTTTAAATGTTCCATCAAAGAAGCATAACCCACAAAATAGCAAATGTCAGGTTCTAAGCACATAAAAAGCATGCAGAGACGAACTTCATTTTTTTCCCACCACCCAAGGGTGTCAGGATCTTGCTGTGCAAATTCCTGGGATCGCTTCACAGCCCAAAAGATGAGGTATCCACTCCCTCCAAGTGTTAGAAACACGAAGAAGTTAGCAAGAAACCTCAGGAATCTGATCAAGTGGACGTTTTCTTCTACTTGGGCTGCTCTTTCTTCTGTTATGGCTTCCTGTATCCATGTAAACAAACAAACAAACAATCCAAAATAGAATACCTTAGCTACATTTTAAAAGTATCATAAACTCAAAAGTTATTTTTACAATCATCAGAATGTGAGGAATGACAATGTAGACTAAATCTGAGATTCTACAAACCAGGTGAATCTTGCCAAAAAATGATGTCAAGTAAGAGACAAAAGGAAGAATTCTTGCAAACAAACTGTGATTGATCTGATATTAGGATAGTCTTCATTCTAAAAATTTTCATTCCAGGGAAGCTCAAAGGCATGAAATAATTTTCTGGACATTTTTAAACTACAAAACAATGTTTTAGGGCCATTTTAAATATTATGCTTATTCCTGTAAATAATTAGTGAATATTGTTCTAGTTTTAAAAATATCTGACTCTGATTACTCATGGTGCCCTGTTTCAATCCAGTAACATTATTTTATTACCAGATTTAGAGAAGTCCTTAAGGGATAATTGTGCTGTTATGGGTCATGGAAGATTTTTCAGTAATAATCACAACCATGGCAAGATCCTGGTAGGCAGAAATCATGAGTTAATCTTTCTTGTAAATTATCAAGATACTACACTAGGGGAACAGATGGAATGCCTCCAATTTTACTCTTAGAAATACAAAAAGCAAGCCTTTGAAGTTGATGACTCTACCTTAAAGTTCATTGTGATAGAATTAAATTTGTTGTCTGCCGTCTCAGGATTGCCAATCAGGTAGTCCCAGCTGGTAAAGACCTTCCAGCTAAAATTGAAAGCGTTGTCATCTCCACCTCCATCATCACCAATGTTTTTGGTCATTCTGCAAAAACAGGAAGTTTAACCCAGCAGCCAGAAAAAAATGAGACAGGGAGAATTGAGAGAAATAAAACATGGTCACTAGAGTTGAAGTGGAGAAGCAATAGCAAAAAGACATATTTTTTAACAGGTTTGTTCTGAGGACCAGAAAATAGTTTATTTTTAAATTTTATTTTTGCTAAATTGTTTAAATGATTCAATTTCTAGGCCTTCAAGACTAATAAACTACTATAAGCACTGACGATTTAAATGATTCAAAATGTATACAAAAACATATATATATATATATATATATTTTAATTGTAGTTTGGGATCTGGGTACATGTGCACATCCTGCGTCCTGCATGATTGTTGCATAGGTACATACATGGCATGGTGGTTTGCTGTCTCCATCCCTCCCAACCCCCATCATCTACATCAGGAATTTCTCCCAATGTTATCCCTCCCCATCCTCCCCACCCACCGCTGTCCCTCCTCTCCCCTTCCCTCCACCCCCCACCAAGCCAAAAACATATTTTTATTAAACTGAGAAAATTAGATCTTAACCTTTGGTAGGATAAGAATCCCTTTAAGAATATGATGAAAATTATTTAGTCCCTCCCCAGGGGGAAAACACCACATGTACTGACTTTTACATTGCTCCACACAACTTTAGTTGGTTTCCAGACCATCTGAAGCCTCTGGATGAACTAAACCAGGCAAAGAAACTCCTGTGTAAATTTTAATTCCCCCTAAAATGTCCTCCCAAAGAGAGATTACATTGCATACATTAAATTTCAATCTACTGTACAATTCTTGAAGAAAAATCAACATTTTAATACAATCTTAATGCCAAATGGTTTTATATATATACATAAATCAGTGATCTTATATATATTTCAATCAGTGGTTTTATACACACACACACACACACACATGCGTGCACACACACACACACATATATACTTGCTTGAAGAACTTAAAATGCATTTGCTCACAGGTTTATTTTAGTGGTTAGAGATCTATATCCCATTTACTCCACTTCCTTTTTTCCCTTTCACTATAAATAGCAACATTAAAATTTCATATGACACATATTATAAAATGATCCCATAAGGTTTTGGTTTTTAAAATATTATAGTCATATAAACCCCGAAGAAGAAAGGGGCACAATGACATAAAGCTGACATTGTAAGTTGACAGGTGTCTCTAGATCATTTATGTTCCCCCACTGTTAGCCACACTTATCATGGAAGCTTATGCATTTTAATAGGCTAGCATGTAAGGAAAAACAACTAGATATCATTATTCCTTTCGTCCATCTACCAGTTTACCCTTTGCAAAGGGTGATTATGTGTGTTTTTGCATTTGTTCTCTTTAAAAATCTCAGCAAGAAGTCAAGATAGTTGCTCTCGTTTTTACAGATGAGGAAGCTGAAGCTCAAAGGCATGAAATAATTTTCTGGACATTATCCAGTAGTGAAGCACAGAGACAGGTCAAGGGCTCAGATTTTCTGACTTTGCTCCAGTGTTCAAGCTAGGATACCATGAGGCATGAAAAGCCATACAAAATGCCTTTTTTTTAGGTAAAAATGGGTTGAAAGCAGACATTCCCTATGGTTTAACCTAGGAAGAAAATGACTTCTTTGATTGATATGCCACCGTCCAATTTTTGCACTGTCATTGAGCCAAGGGCAGGGCTTCAAGTAAAAGTGGCCACTTGGCAGATAAATTTTGAATGGAATTTTATCACTTACAAAGTTTTGAGCTGAAGACAGCCTCCCTGAGAAGGGAACCCAAACTGAATGAGCAGACTGGGAAGATCTAACATTGGAACGGGTGTGAAAAGAAGTGGAATACTGAAAGGAATAAGGAAGAATGCCGAAGAGAAGCCTGCTTGCAACACATTTTGAGATATGGCCCCAATAGCTGTAAACTCTACTCTTTGTCTATAGAGCAAAATATATACATATTTATGAAAATTGCTCATTTTTTGAGACTGCTGTCATTTTCAGTGAGAAACAATCTCAATACATCATTTGCTTTGCCAGGGGAGCTGGCAAAGGCAATTTTAGCATATATGTTGTAGCCTAAGGTTTTTATACTGAATTTCTTGCTTTGGACCACAAGTTTGCAGTTCCATTTATACCCTGAGGTCATTTGGTTATTTCATGGGTATATGTGGAGGTTTTTAATAAATCAAATAAATGCCTCTTTAAATCCTAAACCAACAGGGTCACTATAATGTAGCCTCTGCTAAAATGAAAGTTGAGAAGAGGAAGGAGATTGAGAGGCAGGTAGAAAACAGTTTTCTAGAAGCCCACAGGATGAGACCACACAAGAAAAAGAAAATTACTGTAAAAGTGACACTAAACAACATGTGAACTAGTTCTCTCTTCTCCTTGGTTTTGGTTACTTATGATCAATTCATGGTTCCAAAAATATTAAATGGAAAACTCCAGAAATCAATTCATGTTTTAAGTTTTGTGATGTTTTGAGTATTGCGATGAAATTTCTCACCTTCCTACCTCACCCTGCCCAAGATGTGAATCCTCCCTTTGTTCAGTGTGGATGCATTCTTTGGATACAAAGTGTATCCATGTTGTTAGCAGCCATCTCAGTTTTCAGGCTCACTATTGCAGTTAGGCAATGCTTCGGTTCAAGTAACTCTTATTTCACTTAGTGGTCTCAAAGTGCAAGAGCAGTGATGCTGGCAATTAAGATATGCCACAGATAAGACATAAAGTTCTTCCTTTAGGTGAAAAAGCAAAAGTTTTTGACCTCATAAGGAAAGAAAAAATCATTCACTGAGGTTGCTAAGATCTATAGAAAGAATGAATCTTCTATCCATGAAATTGTGAAGAAGGAAAAAGAAATCAATGGTAGTCTTGCTGTTGTACCTCAAACTGCAAAAGTGAACTAAATTTTAAGTGATTAAAATTTAATTAAGGTGGAAAAGTCATGAAATTTGTGGGTAGAAGACATGAACAGAAATGTGTCCCAATTGACAGTAATATAATTTGCTATCCACAGTTTCAGGCATCCACTGGGGGTCTTAGAACATGTCCCCTGAAGACAAGGGGGTACTACTACTTTAAATTATTTCCCCCCAATGATTTTTTTAAATTATTACTTTTTTCTTTCCAATTTTTATTTTAGGTTCAGAGGGTGCATGTGCAGGTTGCTTACATGGGTAAACTGCATGCCGTGGGGGTTTGGTGTACCGACTATTTCATCACTCAGACGATGAGCGTAGTACCCGATAGGTAGTTTTTCAATCCTCACCCTGCTCCCACCCTCCACCCTCACTAGTCATGGTGTCTACTGTTCTCTTCTTTATGTCCATATGTACTCAACAGTTAGCTCCCATTTATACATGAGAATATGTGGTATTTGGTTTTCTGTTCCTGCATTAATTCACTTAGGATAATGGCCTCTGGCTTCATCAATGTTGCTGCAAAGACATAATTTCATTCTTTTTATGGCTGCACAGTATTCCATAGTGTATATATACTACATTTACTTTATCCAGTACACTACTGATGGGCATCTAGGTTGATGCCATGTCTTTGCTGTTTTGAATAGTGCTGTGGTAAACATATGGGTACATGTGTCTTTATAGTAGAATGATTTATATTTTTTGGCATTTACCCAGTAATGGGATTGCTGGGTTAAATAATAGTTCTAAGTTTTTTGAGAAATTTTCAAACTGAAAATTTCAGCCACAGTAGCTGAACTAATTTACATTCTCACCAACAGCATCTAAGTGTTCCCTTTTCTTCACAGCCTTGACAGCATCTGTTTTTTTTGCTTTTTTCTAATAACAGTCATTCTGACTGGTATGAGATAGTATCTCATTGCGGCTTTACTTTGCATTTCTCTAGTGATTAGTAATGTTGAGTAATTATTTACATGCTTAATGGCCACGTGTGTGTCCTCTTTTGAGAAGTGTCTGTTCGGCCTCATACTGACCTTCAGCTAACGTGACCCAGAATAGATTTAAAAAAAAAAAAGAGAGAGAGAGAGCAGTGTCTGTTCATGTCTTTTGCCCATTTTGATGGTTTTTTGTTTTGTTTCTGCTGGTTAGTTTAAGTTCCTTATAAATTATGGATGTTAGACTTTTCTTGGATGCGTAGTTTGCAAATATTTTCTTCCATTCTGTACGTTGTCTGTTTACTTTGTTGATAATTTATTTTGCTGTTCAGAAGTTTTTTAATTAGGTCCCACCTATCAATTTTTGTTTTTATTGCAATTGCTTTTGGAGTCTTCCTAATGAAGTCTTTGCCAAGGCCAATATCCAGAATAGAATTTCCTAGGGTTTCTTCAAGGGTTTTTTTTCCCCTACAAGACAGAGTTTCGCTCTTGTTACCCAGGCTGGAGTGCAATGGTGCGATCTCAGCTCACTGCAATCTCCACCTCCTGGGTTCAAGCAATTCTCCTGCCTCAGCCTCCCGAGTAGCTGGGACTACAGGCTTGTACCACCATGCCCAGCTAATTTTTGTATTTTTAGTAGAGACGGGGTTTCACCATGTTGACCATGATGGTCTTGATCTCTTGACCTTGTGATCCACCTGCCTCAGCCTCCCAAAGTGCTGGAATTACAGGAATGAGCCACCAAGCCCGACCCCAAGGGTTTTTATAGATTAGTTTTAAAAGCTAAAAATTTACAGTTTTAGATTTTACATTTAAGTCTTTAATCCACTTTGAGTTGATTTTTGTACATGGTGAAAGGAAAGAGTCTAGCTTTGAACTTCTGCATAGGGCTATCCAATTATTCCAATGCTATTTATTACCCATGGAGTCCTTTCCGCATTGCTTATTTTTGTGAACTTTATCAAAAATCAGATGCTTGTAGGTGTGCAGCTTTATTTCTAGATTCTTTAACCTATTCCATTGGTCTATGTGGTAGTTAATATTAGATGTCAACTTGATTGGATTGAAGGATGACTAGATAGCTGGTAAATATTGTTTCTGGGTGTACCTGTGAAAGTGTTGCCAGAAGAGATTGACAGTTGAGTCAGTGGAC